CAAGGGCAAAAATCATCTCCAACCGTTATCATTCCCATAAATTTACCGTTATTATATTCAACATATAAAATTCTTGGATTAATGATTGGCTTTCGTGTATCAGGATTCCAAACAGATGGAGTAAATGATTCATAGTTTTTAAAATCATTTGTTTTAAAATAATAAAGCACCCCAGCTGTATAAAATAAATACGTGGTCACTCCATCGAAACATAACCATTCAATAGATTGAAATGTTTTATCTGATGATTTCATAAAATTTAAAAATGGTGGAGTAAAATAGACCTCTGATTGTTTTATTTCTTCATTAACAAATGATATATCAGCTTTCTTTGCTAACTCAGTATTAATGAATGAAATAACTTTTTCCTTATCTGCTTTCTTCTCTAACTCATTGTTAACATATGTTTTATCTGCTTTCTTCTCTAATCATCGTTAACATAAGTTTTATCTGCTTTAAGGTCTAAACATCCCGAAACCCATTCTGTATCAGCTTTAACTTTAAAAGTCTCCAATGTCCATTCATGATACCCTTCAACCTTTTCTTTAATTTCATTATCTTTTTCATCAACATAAACCAAATTTGCCTTCTTATTTAATTCCTGGTCAACATAACTTTTAAATGCTTTTTGATTAATTACTCTTGAATTTTCATTAACTCTGAAATTTAAATTATCATAATTACTTTTAACTGTTGCATTTGTTTGATTAATTCTGTTATTTAATTCATCGAATTGAACATGTGTATGATCAACATCTGCTTTCTTATTTAACTCGGTATTTACATAAACTAAATCTGCTTTCTTCATTAATTCAGTATTAACGTATTCCTTATCCGCCTTCTTATTTAATTCAGTATTAACGTATTCCTTATCTGCTTTCTTCATTAACTCACTATCCACATATTCCTTATCCACCTTCTTCATTATGTCATTTAGGAAACCTTCTATGAATTCCTCATTTAAATTAAATCTTCCAATCTTCAAAACTTTAGGAAATGCATTTAATGCGTAATATCTCTGTTCTTCTGGTGGAATGGATGTTATATCATCCGTTATACCTTTAATTTTAGAATTCATAAATAAAATTTCTTTTATATTTGATATCACTGCACCACCTTTGCAAACGAATTCGAAATGGTCATTTTTCAATACTATCTCCAAATCTCCATATTTCAACCTTTGCGTTTGTTCTGCCGTCTTTGAATTATATGCATATGTGGCGTATGTCATGGTCTGAAGGACCTGGGCGCTTTGCGCCTTAAGTTGCTGTTGTTTAATCATTTATTACGATTTAAAAATAAATATTTAATCCGTTATCTCATCAGCTATTTTTTCTATTTGAAATTGCCATAATATCTCATTCATGAATTCTAAATCACAATCAAATAGGTCAGTTATTCTAAATTTAATATTTGATAAATCTTTTGAATGAAGAATAAATGAATTCCCGGATAATTGAAACGGATATGATAAAGAAAATGTGTTTAAGTTGATGGATAAAATGTTTTGTATTGATGGGTAAGAGTTAGGGTCTAATGTTTGATGTGAAAATCTCATTGGGGTATTAACTTTATCACATTTGATTAAAATGAAATTGGAACCGGTGTCAGAATACAAAACATCCCCAACATCTTTTTCAAAATTTAATATCCCCAACAATGAACGAAGATGAGGAGTACAAAATTTAATTTTCAGCGGAAATTTAATAAGGTTATTTATTTTCATCAAGTTCAAAAGTTTATCAGGTTTTGATTTAAAATTTTCTTCATACCATACGAACATAAATGATTCATTAAATAACTTAAAATCATGTTAATATCCCATTTCGCTATCACATATTTTATATACATATCATACGTTTTTCAAGGTCTACGACCTCGCCGCTATGCGGCTCATGGTCATCTTTAATAAATGATATATAATCTGAAGGTCTAAAAGAATGGGATTAAATTTACCACTCACAGAAACGAGAGTAACATTATAAATTCCGCTAACTGTTAAATTTAATTCACAGTTATTATTCGAAATAATATTGATAATTGACATTTTTTATTACGATTAAAAATATGGTAAAGCGTTATTTTCAGTGATAAATAAAACTAGAATAAGATTACCTCAAGAATTCATAAATTCAACGAATAAGAAATTCATTCATGTTATAAATTTTAGTGTTTTCAGAAAATATGAGTCAGTGTCATATTCATCAACAGGTTATATTTCACTTCATTCAAATTTAGTTCAATCAAACCCATATAATGACCATTTCATAAGATTTTCAGATGGTATTAAAAATGTAATTGATAGATTAAAATATGAACAGATTGACAATATCGAATTTTTGGAATTTTGGTTTAAATATCCCGATGGAAAAAAGATTGAAGTTAAAGATAAAGCTGATACTATAACAAAAACAATTACAATGACCGATCCGGATAGTGGGGAACAAAAAGAAAAAAACAAACGATAGAAACTGGTGAAAGGTCAATTATTATTGATTATGATTCAAAGGATTATTATTCGATAATGTTAATGCTTGAATATTAAATAGCCTTAACAAAGAATTTTTCAAGTGATATTTTATATTCATCAACTATTTTATTATAAATATCATTATATGTTAAATGAAGTTCAGTTGTTGTTCCGTTCTTTGATATCTTAATTGTGCTAATATCCTTTATAGGATTTATTTTTGCAACTGTTCCGCAGCATGAAACCTCATCATCTATGAAAAATTGAATCTTAACGTCTGAATCTTGAACATCACAAAGAATGGCGATAATGTGAATTAATGATTCATAAGGTAAAATAATTAAACCGGATTGATCAATTAAATTTATTATTGAATCATAATTATTAATTATTATATCACGGTAAATTTTCATTAATTCAGAATTAATGTCTATTTTATATGGGTTATCAAGTGGTGCTGGGTATGTTGGATAAGTGGGAATTTCAACAGGTTCTTTACCGGGTTCAGATAAAATGATTGGGTCTCCATCTTCTTTATTTTGCTCCTCCTCCTTTTTCGGTAAGTCACGAGTTAATAAATTTGGTTGAGTTGCTGACCTTGTTAATTCAGGGCTAACATTAACTTTAACATTTTGAATAATTCGTGATTTATCATCATTTACGTTATAACCAACCGTAATCTCTGCTTTTGCGTTAGTGTTCTTTTGACTAGTGAAACGTCTTCTCATTTATAATCGAATAAAAAAATATATTTAAACTTTTATTTTGCTGGAAGTTTTGAATCTATTATTCCCTGTATTTGTTCTTGAAGTTGATTTTTAGCTGGTTCATTGTAATTAATAGACCTAATATATTCATTAATTGCATTCTTATAATCATCTGATTTCTCAAATTTTCTTTTATCTGATTCCTTAACTAAATCATAAGTTAAATCTCGTTGCTGATATAATGGTTTCTTAATTAAATCTTTGAATGCTTGAGATAAAGCACCTGATGCAATTCTTGCTACTATAATTGGTTGGAATTGCTGTTTAAGTTCATCTTTAACATTTGCGAAAACTGGATCGAATAAAGCAACTTTAAAGAATTTCTTAGCTGAAATTTCAGGTCTAATATTTGCATATTGACCATCAAACTTGTTAGAATATCGTGGTAATCCATCCGGTCCCTCTTCAATAGCATTTAATTCTTCATTGAAATAAGAATATGGATTATAACGGTATGAATTAATTGGACCATCTTCACCTTCTCCAATGTATTGTTTAACAGCTTTTCCATTTTCATCAAATTGCATAGGATAACGTTCATTATATGCTTTACGTTTAGGATAATCAGTTATAGTTAATTTGTAACCATTTATGACTTTAATATTACCTTGACCATCAGTAATGAAAACTTCATTTATACCATCAGGTTTTCCATTTGGACCGTAATGTCTGCTTCGTGTGCTTCCCAATTTGGACCTTGACGTTTGGCATATGCTTGAGCTTCTGGTAATGTTAAAACGTTTCTCATTTGTTTAACATCTTTTTGAAGACCAGCAACAATATGAACTAATTCTTTCATTCCATCAGGAACTTTCATAGTTCTACTATATGCACCCTTTTTGTTTGTTCCTTGTTTTAATGGAACCTGTAGAAGATTTGCTATTTCAGTCATGTTTAATTATAAATAAAAAATAAAAATTAATTATAAAAAGTTAATCAAATTTAACACCTCCTTTATTTAAATCAACTATTATTTTTCCATGTTCACCTAATTGCTGATATTGTGTGTAAAGTTCATTAATGCTCATTGGTAAATTCACTTGATAAAGCATAACGTTCAACTGTTGACGACTAAACCCACTGAAAATGAAAAGTGTTGATAGGTTTGATTTAATGTTTGTGCTTAATGCTTTGAAGTATTGAACAGACATGAAGAATGAACACTGAATGTGTCGACATTGAGTTAATAACTGATTAAAATATGATTTCTCATTTGTTATTAGTTTTGATTTCACTGCATCATCTAGAAAAATGAGTGAATGCAAAAATTCTCTATCAAAATTTGAAATAGAAAGTGTTTCAAATAATTCATCCCGTTGTTTATCAATAATTTTATCCTCTAATCCTTGCTTCTTGATTATATTATATAATTCTTTATACATTAAAAAGTTTTTTAAATAATCTTCTGCTTCTTCTTGTGATAAATAAATAATTGGAATTTTGATTAAATGCTTTAAAGATTCAAATGTATCATCTGAAGGTGAACCTGAACGGTTGATATAAATTAACACATGTGAATAGGGGGAAGTGTTAGCAATAATGTTAATTTGTTCTTCAATGTCAGAAATATTGTATGAAAATAAGCGGCTATATTCAAAAGTAGTGCGGATAGAAAATTAATTTATATGCCATTTTTCAGCAATATGATTACATGTTAATATTTCTATTTTTTTATTTCTAATTATCAAAGAAAAAATAACTGTTGATGAATTTTGATTCAATATTTTTTTTCCCTTCTAAAAACAAACAAACAAAGAGCACAAATGTTTCAAGAGAATAGCTGTGAAGAAACCTATTGCAACTGTGGTGAAATTGTAATTACTGGTGAATACATCAATGAAGAAGACATCCATGAACCTAACCAGTCTATCCTTACATTAATTCAATCTAATTTTTCGACCATCTTTCGTTCAGAGCCTAACAATATTATAGTTAACAAACTTGATGAAGCTGAAGTTATACAACTCCAATCTAATTTATATGATATCTATTGCCGTAATTGCAAATGTGGATTTCGTCTAATTATCGGCAGAGAGTATGCTTATTCTTGTTCAATTGATGACTGCAAGATCCAAACATTTCAGTCACAAGGTCCAATATTAAAGCGAACTCTTACAAGCTTCTTCCCGATTAATTTACGTCGCTTTATTACAGAAAGATCCGTTGAAGGAGCATCAAAAGGAATAGCAGCTGTAAAGTCAGAGTTTACACCTACCTCATCGCTTCATCAAGTTGTTTTTCTTGATGTTGAAGATGGCGATGACAACGATGATGATTTAGAATCATCATTTTCGTCTAAGAGTGACTTTATTGTTGGATCATTCGCAGATAATTGGAATTATCCTACAGAAGTCTCCTTCTAATTACATTTTTTTGTGCGGTACTTTATTTATTATTTATCTTATTTACTTCATGTTATTAAATCGTAGATTATTAGATGCTTATTCATTTATGCCGACTATATTTTTATTGGCCAAATATTATGAGAGATAATGCCATTTTAAACACTTTACCGTTAAATATTGCTATATGAGTCATACATCAACAAGTTAAAACCTTCAAGTTCGACTATCCGATCAATACATTTTTTGCAGATAGAAGAGTTTTGATTTTAAAACCTTTTATATGCCTAGCCAGATGTCATTTATGCTAAATCAGATCATTTCATTGGCTTGAATATAAGAATAAGTGATTATTGAATAAATCATTTGCCATTTTTAAGTAATAAGAGTTAATCATTGTATTGGAAATCGATATTTGAATTAATATGTAATAAGTAATAGAATAAAGAGATAGTGTTTATTAAATCATAAAATAAACATAAAAAAATACTACTTTAATAAGTTTGTCTCAAAGAATTCTGAGACAGAAAAGTACAATTCCTTGTACAAAGCGAATAATTCGTCATCTTTTTCGCAAATTGTTCTCACAGCCTTTTGCATCAAAATAATTGATTCATAGTCATCATGTTCCAAGTTATTAACAAAAACAGAGTCACATGACAGACTTGCGTTTAATAAAACAGTTGTTACAGCAATATCACTTGAACTACAAACTTGTAGAGCATTTAAGAGAACAGTTTCAGTATCTCCGAAGAATAGTTTCGAAAGATCAACTGATTCTTTGGCTCATGCAATGATCTGTTTGTATCTTCTGAAAAATCTGACGTATCCGATATTTTCAAAGATAATTGAGATGATATGGAAGGAATGTCCGAATATCAATCGTCTAGATTTCGGCAAATTATCTGTATTTAGACTTTTTCTTTCTTTAGATAAATTATTTTTTATCCAAATTTGACCAAATTTTTCAACTAATGCATTTGTTGTTTCATTCTGCCACTCCTTAAGAATATATTCTACTCTACAAGAGCAATAATTGCAGATTACGGATTTTGATGAAAATATTGAGGAATAATCGATCAGTTTCTGATGTGATTTGAGGGATTTGCTGTTACTAAAGTTAAATGTTGATATGAAATCATTGGCACAACTTAATACGCAAATATCGTAATTTTTCTGGACAATTTCGTGCCAATTCGCAACCTGACGCTGAATAAACAACAGTTCTATGAGAATCTCGAAGTTGTAAGAATGTTCTTTGGATATTTTCAATTGTTTCAGAATCAGAAAATCTCTAAAACTGATTTCTGATTCTCTTGGCTTTGTGTTATTGATCTGGTTGTTCGTTTTGTTGTTTTTGGCCGGCTCAATAATATCATTTGAAATTTCTTCCAAAGAATCGTTGTAAGAGAACTCAGACATGCTATATCGAGGTCTCTTCTCATCATGTGTCTCATCGCTAGCGTCAGAAGAGAATTCATCTCCCAAATTATTTTCTTTTGCCTTTTGCAAGAGATTTTCATATAATTTCTTCTTTCCTGAGTTATCGTAATAGTCGAGATCAAACTTCTTCTCACGAAGCGCGTCTTGGCGCAATTGCATATAAATTCTCTCGTAAATAGGTATCTTTGGTATGATTACGGATCTTCTTTCATCTTTAAACACAATTGTGTCCTTGATTTTTATCTCCCCATCTGATACTTCTTTGGGATAAACGTTGAATAAAATCGGAGAATATCCTAAATAAGCCAAATTCTTCATTTCTCCGAGTTTGAGAAGTAACGGTGGTAATTTCATTGCTTTCTTTGATGCGTTGAACAGTGCTTGAACATCTTTTATTGAAGTAACAAACCTCAAATATCTTCTACCGTATTTTTTGAAGGCTCTTGGTACTTCGAAGATAGAATTTGTCTTTGACAATGAAAAAGGTTCAGTATTTACCTCATACATGTCGATTGATTTCAACGCGATATGCTTGAAAATGTTAATAATTCCGTAGAAAGGAGATGTTGACAACATGGCACAAAGCTGAGGAATTATGATGCTTCTAATAAAGAATGAATAGACATCAAGCTCTGAAAAACCGTTTTGTTGCAATAAACTTAAAATATTCAAATGCGTTGTAGGTAATAACTTCATATTCGAAATAATGCATTTAGTAAAGTGTTTCGCGTGTCTTTCTATGTTTTTATTTTCGATATTTGAATCTAATAATTTTATATCGTTGCAAATGAACATTGAAACATCTTCATGCAATTTCTGAATGAATGGAAAGACATTTGATGCTGAAAAATAAGGTGGTAACAAGATTTCAATAATTTTTTTGTCTGCTTGAAGAATTGCAGAAGAATAGAATATGTAGGCATATTCATCATGATCTCCCATTGCGAAATATCCAAATACAGAAGGGATTGTCGAATAAACAAAAAACGTAATATTGGCGGAATCGAGATGCTTAAATGCAGCCAACGTAACTTTTAATAGATCAGATAGGTTCTCGTAAAAATATTCATAAAATTTCGATACTAAGTGTATTTGTGTTCCATTGATAAATTCTGAATATTTGATTGGTAATGAGATAAAATTTACAAACTGATCTGATTTAGGAAAAAATGAAGGAAGTTCTGGCGCGTTTTTCAACCTGAATAATGTTATAAATCTCTGTTTTTGTATAATATCATCAGTAGTATTAACGAATTTATCAATACAATCTTGTGCATTGTCATTAATATTGATAGGAAGATGAGACAACATGAAGTTTACTTCCTCTTCCATCAATAATTCCTTAGTAGTATATGTTGAAGGGTTGTGTGACTTTTTTTGTAAACGTAAGAATTCATACAATATTGAACGATTTTGTATCATTTTTTTTAACATATGAAGTAAAAAATGTATGATTCTTACGGTTTTTATTCTTACGTTTTTGAATAAATCAAGATTTAAAAAATTGACTTCTTACGTAAAATTAAAACTAAGTTAAATTTATTTTTTTTATTTTTTATTTTATAATAAATGAGTATAACAACTAATTCATTGAAATCTTTAAAGTTCACTAATTCAGAATTAGAAAATATTTTAGAAAATTTTGGAGACGGTTCTTATCCAACATATATGCAGAATGTGAAAGAGTTTTCCAGATTGTTGAATGAATTTAAATATAACGGACCAATTACTAAAAAGGCTATAATGAGATATTTATATCCCAAAAAAGTTGAAAAACAGGAGAATATTCCTCTTTATGGTCCAGAGGACCTGGGCTCAGAGAGCCTTGAAACACCTCCTGAATATTTTGAAGAAAAAATTAAACAAGATGAATATTATAACGATGAGATTGAGAAATTGGAACAATTAAGAAATGAAATAGATGAAAAAATTAAGGAATTGAGAAATGCTGAGAATGAAGTAGAGGGTTTAATGAATATCCCAGCTTCAGAATCAGAAGTTCAAAAATCACATGAGGAAAGATATAAAAATTACTTTTTGGAATCTACTAAAAATTTATTAGATGGTGATATTGACGAAACACTTTCAGAAGAAGGCACAAAATTTATTCATAAACATAAGCTTCAGTTTATTGACGATGGAGATTATCCATGTATATTACTTTCACCTCCTCTTGATTCTGAAAAATTCAAAAAAGCACTGAAAAATGTAACATATGCAACAAATACGATTAAGAAAGAAGACCATGATATTTACACAAATTATTATTTAAATAAATGTACAGGTGTTGATAAAGTTTTTGATTTGTTAGATAAAATATCAAAAGAAACAATTGGTACATATAAAATTTTATGTGATTGTGGTTTCATTGTTGAAGATACCAATAATGTTTCATATGAAAGAACAGCACCGAAGGAAGACGAAGTTGAAAGGTCTATACCATTCGTTATTAAGAACATAAAAGATATGAAAACTTATAAACATTATATTTATTCATTTATTTCAGAAAAAATGGAAGCAACCCATAAAACATCTTCTCATCATTTTATAGCTATTCATACATTCCTTTTCAAAGTTGTGAAATTAAATAAGACAGGAATTAGATTTAATGTATCAGGGTACGCATTCTTGAGTAAATTAAAATGTATTCGTCACGTCGCAGATGATAAAAATTTATGTGTTCTTAATTCATTTTATGGACTTTAGCCCTGGACTCTCTGAGTCTCGGACTTTAAAAAAAATAAACTTTATTTTTATTTATTTTTTAATTTTTATTCTTACATAAATGAACAAAAATGGAACAGCTAAAATGAATGATAATCAAATAAGAGCCGAAGGTAGAAGGTTATTTAAACGCTTCTATAACATTCCTGATGGTGTTAATCCTAAAACTCGTAGAAGTTATTTAAATGAAGCCATAGATGCATATGAAGGATTTGACATTTCATCAGAAAGTGAGAGGTTAGCAAGAATGTTAAACGTTAATATTGATTTTTATTATTGTGACCCTCAACCAGAAGACGTAGACATAAATAAGGTAGACTTTCCATTAGTGGAATCAATAATGATAGATCCAGAATTTGAAACAGTAAATATTTTATTAACACAGAGTCCATGTGGAAAACTTCACGCTGACAGAATTACAGACGTTGAAGCACTCACAGGATATAAAGTTTGCCCCTTTTGCAAAGAAGAAGTTTATTCTATCCGTGATGATCCAGAAAGGAAAAACCAAAGAAGATTTTTAAAGCATTGTGAGAAATGTAAAGAAAATAATGGAAGATTAATTCAAGACGTTCAATTGCAAAACACACAACAACCATATGCACCACATATCACGAAACAGAAGATATATCAATGGCTATTAGCACATAATTTGCAGGAATATTATAAACCAACAAGATATTATATTACTTTTGACTTTGAAACATTAGAGACTAAAGAAGAATTACAACTTTCTGAGTGTGCAACTTTGAACGCTTACTTAAAACCATTTATGGTATCATCAACTGTCAAAATAAAGCCGCAAAGCGGCGAGGTCGTAGACCGTGATAAAACATTTACGAGGAATTTTTGCTTAACATCAAGTGATTCTTTTATTTCTGATTGGATTGAGTTTTTATTTTCAACCTGTTCATTAGTTGCTAAATCAAATATTGAACAATATGAAGAATTAATGAATACATTAAATGAGAAACAAAAGGAAGCAATGAAAGAGCTTTTAGATGAGGAATTCAATAAAGTGAATATCATTGGTTTTAATTCGGGAAGGTTTGATTTAAATTTAATTCTTCGTGATTTAAATACTGCAAAATGGAAGATAAAATCAATGCTGGGTTCTTCTTCTCAATTTAAGCAAGTCATAGTAAAGAAAACAAACTGTCCATATGAATTAAGATTTATTGACATCAGAAATTATATAGCGGGTGGAACATTAGACCAATTCACTCAAGATTTCGGAAACAATAAATCACGTGTTAAATCCTTTTTCCCTTATCAATTCATCACATGGGAGAATTACGAAGATGAATTATATAAAAAGGAACCATTCACTCAAGATTCATTTTATTCAGCATTAACACAAGAAACAATATCCGATTCAGATTATCAAATATATCTCAATGATGCTAAAAATTTTGAGAATAGATTAGAATATTTTATTCATTATTGCAATAAAGACGTTGAAATTATGATTGACCCAATTGATAAAATTATCGAAGAAACATTTGTTTATAAAATTGACATGCTTCATAATCTTTCTTTATCATCGAATGCATCAATGATTCGTTACGCGTTAGCATATAAGAACTTCAATCCTAACGAAACATATCCAGAAGAAGAAAATGTGGAATCAAGTTTTGAATTAACGAAAAAGTATTGGAAATATAAAATTGATTCATATAAGAAACAAGATGAAAAGGCGAAAAGAGATACCAAAAACAATGTTTCAATGGATGACTATCAATACTATCACGATTTAATCCTTTCATCTAAATGCAAAATGTGTGGTAAAGCGTTTACATATGTAAATAAACCAACATTGGATAGAATCGATAATGAAAAACCACATACCAAAGAAAATTGTCAGTTAATGTGTTGTTATTGCAATGTCGTAAAATCAAATAAAGATGAAGATGTTCAACGTTTAAGAATCAATTTAAGAAATTATGCATTAAAAATAATTTACCAATGACTTTAGATTCAGTTGAAGCTTATCACATTCTCCGTAATGGAATTACTGGTGGTTTATCAAATGTTCAACATAGAGTAAATCTTAAAGGAATCACGCACATTAATAAACTTTCATATAATCCAGAAACTAAAACTGTATCAAATGAGGACACCACCAACATTATGACTCATTTCGTTGGAGTTGACTTTAATTCATTATATCCTTCATCATTTTCATCTAATCATCATGATTTCATTCAATATACTGACCATAAAATGTATATGCCGGGAAGATTGAATGGTGTTATCATTTGTGATACAGCAACAAAGAAAGCAAAAGCACTGGGAATAATTAAGAAGAAAAAATACTTTATTCGTGGCTGAAGTAAAGGGTCACATTGATGAAAAATACATTAATGATTACATAAACTTTTTACCGATAATAAGAAACTTAGATATTATCACAGATGAAAAAACAATTGGCAGTTTTATGTATAATTACATGAAATCAAACAATCTACCAGTTGACCAGAAACAGAGAAAATTAACTCAGTTAGCATCAACAACAATATCAACCATTTTCTTCTTATTATCTTTGGTATCTAATAGACAGATTTCATTTTTATCGATGATATTCAATCAATTTTAACATTTACTAAAAACACTTGTTTTAATGAATTTGCGAACGAATTTATGAACGAAAGACAAAAGGCTGAATTAGAAGGAAATAAAGGAAAAAGTTTATTTTGCAAGATTTCGCTTAATGGATCATATGGTTACGATGCAATGAATACACAAAATTACGCAAAGACTAAAATAATGAATGCACAGAAGTCACGCGTTGCATGTATGTCAAATAAGTTTAAAAACATAAGAGAAATAGGTGAAGATACATATCAAGTGATGCTTAAAGATAGATTTTATAGATGTGATACATGTTTACAAGAGGCATTCTTCACTTTAGATAATGCTAAATACTGGTATTTGGTTTTCATTTATGATTTTATGTATAAATGCATGGATGTTAATCGTTTTCATTTCATTGAAGGTGATACTGATTCATCTTATTGGGCAATCGCTGGCGACCCAAATCTTCCTAACACTCAAGCATTTCAAGCAATTGTTACCGATAAAAAATTTTATGATAAAAATGTTTTCAAATTTGCACCATTTGATTTCTTCTGTTTTGATGAGAAATTTAAACCTAAATTAAAGAATAAAGCTGAAGAAAAAGCACATGAGAAAAAATTATTGGGTTTAGCAATTGAGAAACAAGGTGATAACATGGTTGCTTTATGTCCTAAGTGTTATACATCATTCAACGGTTCAATTGATGGAAGTGATTTTAAAAAGATTGCACAAAAAATGAAAGGTGTTGGTTTACGACAAAATAAACAATTAACACCTAAAAATTATTTGGATATAATAAATGATAAATTGATATTTGATGGTCAGAATATTAATTTACAACTTAAAAACGGGTCAATGACTCGCTTAACAATCGGTAAGACTGCATTAACAGGAGCACACACTAAGGCTGTATGTTGTGAAAATGGATGTTGTATGCCATTTATTTAATAAAATACCACAGAAGAGACAAAAGGAACCGTTAATAATGGCTTTGATACTATGATTCAAAGAGGTGGGCACCCTTAAACATTTATTTTATTTTTATATAAATGAATAGCGTAGATTTAAAAAATTTAATTGATGATTTAGTATTTAATCAAAATTTTCTTGATTATTATGATTTAAAAGCATATCTCCAAAAATATGATAACAATATAACGGGTGATGATATGGAATATTATTATCCATATTATAAAAATGAAATTTTGAAATATCATGATAGAATAATTTCTAAAATTAAAGATAAAATTAAAAATAATGAATATTCAAAGGGAAAAACTAAATCACAACTTAAACAGTTGAAAGATTTCAAAAATAAAGTATTAACAGAAGAAGATATTGATGAATTATATAAATTATATAATCCTGAGCCGCAAAAGCCAAAGGAACAAAAACAAAAGGTGCAAAACGCCCAGGTCCTTCAGACCATAAATGAAGCACAAGCTTTAATTTATGATTCATTAGTTAAACCATATTCAGCCCGACTTTTAAATGAAGATCAACTTTTGGAATTCATCCTTCAACATAAACTCGAAGCGGGAAAGTATATCAAACCTTTATATACAGCATATTTAAAACAAATGAATAGAATACATCCAGAATTAATGAAGGGGGGAATGAAATCCAAAAGCAAAGCAGATAAAATTAAACCACTTGCAACACCAAAACCTCCAACGACAGTACCGCCTCCTCCTTCAGTTAATCCTTCATCATTCACTTTATTATATCCATTTCAAACATTAAAGAAGCAAAAAGATTTTAAAAAGGATTTCAAGATATTAAATAAACCAATTGACCCGAAAATTCAACCATTAAAGGAAAAATTTAGTCGCCCTTCATTTGCTCCATATCCATATTCATACGAAATCGATCATCTGGAATATTCAAAAGGAAAAGTTACTTATTTATTTGCCATTAACATTAACACTAGATATTTATATTGCATTCCAGTGAAAGGGAAAACAGAACAGGAAACAAGAAGAGCTATACAATACTTACTAGATCATGAAAGAGTAGATAATATCAGGGGTGATGGTGATAAAGGATTTCAGGCAGCTATGACTCATTATTTCCCACAAATTAATTTTTTCTTTTCATCCTCTCCATATACGTTTCATAATAAAATAGTTGATGCGGTAATGAGAACTCTTAGAGATGCGTTAGGGGTTAACGGTCAGATATACTGGGATGGAAATCATGACTCCATCATACAACAGTTAGTATATTATTATAATAATACATGGCATAGAACAATAAACATGAAACCGGTGGAAATGAAAAATGATATTTCAAAAGAATGGAAATATATTAGAAAGCAAATGGAAAAGTTAAATGATGTTAAACGTGAACAAATTAATTCGGGGCTCATGAATTTTAAACAAGGGGATAAAGTTTTGATTCATCTCGATTATGGAAAAACTGATAAATCAATGACACAAAGAAGACGAAGATTTGACACAATAGCTGAATTTGTTAGATATATTAACGGCAATGCATTAGTTGAAGTTGACAATAAATTAATAGAAATTCCGATTTATTTTATTACTCCATTATATTTAAATAATATTTAATTTTTTTATTTCGTAAGAAATGAGTGACAACAAAGCAGTCAAGAGTCCAGACGATGAATATAAAAAGAAACTAAACAGAATTAAATCAAAAATATGCTATTACAAAAAGAAGCCACAATGTGATGGAACTGAAAACGATAAAGAAATAATCGAAAAATTAGAAACTTACCGTTCAATCCTTAAACTGAGTGAAGCAAAAATAAAAGAATTTAATAGAATAAATAAATTGATTGGAAGAGATGAATTTAATAAAGATGAATTTTTAAACTCAATCCAAATTTAATTTTTATTTTTCTTTGACAACATCTCTCTTTCCATCATTACTGCATAACCGCATTTTCTCAATTTTAGTGGTTTGTTATTTTTAACATGTTCTTGCATCATTTTTATCATTTCCTCCCTTGTTATGATTCGTGGTAAATTTTGAGCTTGTGGGGTATTCATTTATGATAAAAATAAAAATTTAAATTATGCCGTTCTAAAGTTTGTGACAACATGACATTTTGACAACATCACAGGAGGAAGGTAGTTATGACTTATTTTTGAAGAACTGAAGGTGTCACCATGTCACCAGGTAATTTAACTCATGACATTTTGACAACACAGGAGGAAGGCAGTTATGAATTATTTTTGAAGAACTGAAGGTGTCACCAGGTCACCATGTGTCACCAGGTCATTTAACTTCTTTTAAAAAATGAGACAACATGACATTTAGACAACAACACAGGTTATTCAATAATTAATTATTTTTGAAGAACTGAAGGTGTCACCAGGTCACCATGTGTCACCAGGTCATTTAACTTCTTTTAAAAAATGAGACAACATGACATTTTGACAACATCACAGGAGGAAGGTAGTTATGAATTATTTTTGAAGAACTGAAGGTGTCACCATGTCACCAGGTAATTTAACTCATGACATTTAGACAACAACACAGGTTATTCAATAATTAATTATTTTTGAAGAACTGAAGGTGTCACCAGGTCACCATGTGTCACCAGGTCATTTAACTTCTTTTAAAAAATGAGACAACATGACATTTTGACAACACAGGTACGAAAAAGAGGAAGGCAAAAATAAATTCCAATCATACTTTATAAAGCATCATTTACAGGTATTTCATCGTCAGTAAATGAATCCTCATTATCGTTTGGTTCAACCTGTTTATATAATCCTTTCATTTCTTCTTTCAAAACATAACACCATGTTTGTTTACCATCTATTCTTACCTGTTTCCTATCACATTTATCCTTAATGCTCATTTGGAAATTCTTGTCTTTCATGTCTGATGGTTTGCAGAATAGAGCATTTTTACACGTCATACCTGCACACAATTCATCATAATGTGTATTTATCCATACATCTAAAGGATTTGTTGATAACTCGATTAAATCTTGTTTGGCTTCAGTCATCGGAATGATTCGTACATTAAATGATGAAAGGTCATATTGCATAAAATATGTTAAAAGGTTATCATAAAATTCCTTTGTGCATGAATCCATTAAATTCTTGAAGTAATCAAATTGGCCCTTGAATTTACCATTAACTCTTAAAACTACGTATCTTCTGTCTCCAACTTCAATTTTGACAGGGTAAACGTTATTAGTTACGAAAATGAAGTTTGCAACATTCTGAGCAGTTCTTCTGGGTTGATTCTTTTCATTAATTCTAATCTCATTATCCGTTATAATTGATTTCAAAGCGTTGAAGTTTGCGAGTCTGTCTTCACCTACATTCTTGAGTTCATTAAGTACAAGAAACATTTTATTTTCAACTACTGAGTTGAAATTACCCGTTAGCTCACTTATTTCAGTAATGTTTTTACATGAATAACCAGCGAGAAGTTCAGAAATAATGTCTGTAAATCTGTTTTTACCTGTTCCCTGAAGTCCTTTCAAAATAATTGCTGTTTCATTCTTGATTCCAGGATGTTGAATCATTGATGCAATCCAGCCGAGAAGGTATTTATACACTTCATCGTTATTATCACAAATGGCTTCTTTAATGAAATTCATAAACATCTCAATTTTTGAGTAATCAGGCTTTTCAAGAATGTTGTATTTATAACCCTGAAACGTTGAGAAAACATCGGGGGAATCAGATTTAAAGCAAACACCCTTAACGGTTAATGAAGACATTGATTTAGTAGTACATCCCATGCTGTTATGGTTTTACTTCTTCTTTAAATAATTAATCATTTTGAGTGACTCTTTCATGTTGATTGAAGAACGAATGATATTTGATCATTTTGTCGTGTATGTTGTAATCTTTCTGAATGAAGTATTTATTTCCACAATCTACAAAACGGATTACACGTGATAAATCCTCAATTACTCAGAACTGTTTTTATACTGATGATTTTCAGCCTTGTCTAATATCTGTTATCAAAAACGAGTCATCAAGTTTGATATCAAATGTTATTTTTGGCTTACGTAATAAAGGTAAAACATCATCCATAATATTCCTTTTGATAAAGTTTTAGAATCTTCACCAAAACAAATGAAGAAGTCATTAAATGTGCATATCTACTACGTGCTTTTTCAAAATTACTTTTTGCATTTTCTGTTAAGCTGCAGAAATTATAAACGTTATCGTATGCTTCATTAATTAAATGATTAGGTAACGAATTAATTGCTTGAAACAGTGTGAATAATGTAACTTCTTTTTCTAAATTCATGTTTCCACCATCATTATGTACTTCAAAATCACAGATGCCATCAACTATGCTCTGGGCAAGTTTTATCGTCAATGTTACATCTTTGTTTTCATTCATTATACTCTTTATTTCTTCACTCTTCTGTTCAACTCTTACCTTAATATTCAAATCATTTAATATATCGTTTACTGTTCTGGTTAATGTTGAATCATAACTTCCACGAATGAATGAGTATGTATTGATTGGTTCTGATGCATTCTTGCGAACTCTTGAATCAGCCATAACTACTAATGAACGCTTTGAATCATCAATAGAAGTCATTATGTCAATATCATAATCATTGCAGGAATAACATTTAATCATTCTGTTCGAAACTGCATAGAAGAAATTAGTGTTGCAATAAATGTGAAGACCTCCTGAAGCGGTTTTAACGATAACATCTTTATCCGAAAGTTTTGATAAAATGTCTTTTCTAACTGTTTCTTTAAGTTCATCATTGTATGATTTATTGATATCAACATCTATAATCGTTAAATTTGAAATTTTATTTACTAATAAAGCTGTACCAGTTTTCCTTCCTCTTCCTCCATCATGTTTGAGGTAGTTATGTAAATCAATCTTGTTTTCACCAATTCTTTCGTTGAGGGTTTTAGTTTCTGCCACAACTAATTCCTCAGCTAATGAATCAATAACTTGTTCATCAGAAACGATATAGTTGTTGTTGTTGTTTGTTGCTGTCATTTATATAGGAATAAAAAAATAAAAATAATTTTAAAACTAACTTTATTTTTGGGCTGCATCAAATTTTCGTAAATGTTGTCAAAATGTCATGTTGTCACATTTTTTCAGAGAAGTTAAATGACCTGGTGACCTGGTGACATAGTGACACCTTCAGTTCTTCAAAAATAAGTCATAACTGCCTTCCTCCTGTGATGTTGTCAAAATGTCATGTTGTCTCATTTTTTAAAAGAAGTTAAATGACCTGGTGACACATGGTGACCTGGTGACACCTTCAGTTCTTCAAAAATAATTAATTATTGAATAACCTGTGTTGTTGTCTAAATGTCATGAGTTAAATTACCTGGTGACATGGTGACACCTTCAGTTCTTCAAAAATAATTCATAACTACCTTCCTCCTGTGATGTTGTCAAAATGTCATGTTGTCTCATTTTTTAAAAGAAGTTAAATGACCTGGTGACACATGGTGACCTGGTGACACCTTCAGTTCTTCAAAAATAATTAATTATTGAATAACCTGAAAACATTAACATAAACATTAACGTAAACATTTATTTCTGTAGTTCATCCATTACTTCATTACCTAATTAATTACAGACATAAAATATATTTAGTTCATTCATTGAACTCTATACCATGCGTAAACTGTCATGTAAGGTGGCATGTATTCTTTACTTTGTCCCGTTGTTTGTGTATATCCTGAAACGTGATGTGTATGGTTTCCTTCTCCCTGAGTGTCACTCCAGTAACAATTTATGGCAAACTTAACATCGTCTTTAACATCATATCCTTTACCTTTTGTCATTCCTGACCAATCCCAATATCTATGCTTATGCCAACCTGCTTGAGATGTACTTAAATCTATGTAGTGACTGTGTGCAGGTAAATTTTCACCTGAAATCGTTTTACTTCCCCCTGTTTCCTTTGAAGAGTTTGCACAATACAAAAACCTGTCAACTATTTGTTCCCATGCACCAACACCAAACATTACTTGAGGACCTCTTGCATCCATAGATGTATAAATAGAACCTACTGGGTTCATTAAATCAAACATATGAGATATTATAGGATTGTCTCTTTTGAACTTAAGATATAGTGTAACTATTTCAGGTTTCTTCTGGTTTGTGTCAGAATATTTTTTATAATATAATCTTATGTTTTCAGGGTAGGTAAAATCTTGACTATAATATTTATTTCTGTCATCTGTATAATAATATACTATTCTCGTTTTTTCTATTGCATTATATCTTTTATATCTATAATAATCTAAATATAATGTTAGCTTTTGTTCATCTACATGTGGTGTTCTGACATCATCTCCATAGTCATAATAATATGGTGCTGGAGCTGGGTCAGGCAATGTCATACCTGCCATTTCATAAACTCTTAAATATTTCTTTTGTTCATCTCCATATAAGTTTAAGTAACAGTTGTTGTCTAATGGAACTTTAACTTGTGTGCCATTATTCTTTATATAGCCTACATACATTTCATTGTTATTTTTCGGAATGAGTTTACACCGTATACCATTTTTTAAGGAGTGTACAAACTCCCATCTAAAATATTTGTTTTCTTCATTGACAGAAACATCCCCAACAATAGTTTCAATATTTTTTGTTCCTATCAAACTTTGGTATATTTCGTTAACATATGTTTTATCTGCCTTCTTCCCTAACTCATCGTTAACATATGTTTTATCTGCTTTCTTCTCTAACTCATCGTTAACATATGTTTTATCCGCTTTAAGGTCTAAACATCCTGAAACCCATCCTGTATCAGCTTTAGTTTTTAAAATCTTTGATGTCCATTCATGATACCATTCAACCATTTCTTTAATTTCATTATCTTTTTCATCCACATATTCCTTATCTGTCCTCTTCTTTAACTCACTATCAACATATTCCTTATCTGCTTTCTCCCCTAATTTAGTCTTTAACTCACTATCAACATATTCCTTATCTGCTTTCTTATTTAACTCACTATCCACATATTCCTTATCTGCTTTCTTCATTATGTCATTTAGGAAACCTTTTATGAATTCCTCATTTAAATTAAATCTTCCAATCTTCAAAACTTTAGGAAATGCATTTAATGCGTAATATCTTTGTTCTTCTGGTGGAATTGATGTTATATCATCCGTTATTCCTTTAATTTTTGAATTCATAAATAAAATTTCTTTTATATTTGATATCACTGCACCACCCTTGCAAACGAATTCGAAATGGTCATTTTTCAATACTATCTCCAAATCTCCATATTTCAACCTTTGCGTTTGTTCTGCCGTCTTTGAATTATATGCATATATGGCGTATGTAATGGTCTGAGGGATCTGGGTGCTTTGTGCCTTAAGTTGCTGTGGTTGCTGTTGTTTAATCATTTATTATGATTTAAAAATAAATATTTAATCTGTTATCTCATCAGCTATTTTTTCTATTTGAAATTGCCATAATATTTCATTCATGAATTCTAAATCACAATCAAATAGGTCAGTTACTCTAAATTTAATATTTGATAAATCTTTTGAATGAAGAATAAATGAATTCCCAGATAATTGAAACGGATATGATAAAGAAAATGTGTTTAAGTTGATGGATAAAATGTTTTGTATTGATGGGTAAGAGTTAGGGTCTAATGTTTGATGTGAAAATCTCATTGGGGTATTAACTTTATCACATTTGATTAAAATGAAATTGGAACCAGTGTCAGAATACAAAACATCCCCAACATCTTTTTCAAAATTTAATATCCCCAACAATGAACGAAGATGAGGAGTACAAAATTTAATTTTCAGCGGAAATTTAATAAGGTTATTTATTTCATCAAGTTCAAAAAGTTTATCAGGTTTTGATTTAAAATTTTCTTCATACCATACGATAAATGATTCATTTAAATAACTTAAAATCATGTTAATATCCCATTTCGCTATCACATTATTTATATACATATCATACGTTTTTTCATGGTCATCTTTAATAAATGATATATAATCTGAAGGGTTAAAAGAATGGGATTAAATTTACCACTCACAGAAACGAGAGTAACATTATAAATTCCGCTAACTGTTAAATTTAATTCACAGCTATTATTCGAAATAATATTGATAATTGACATTTTTATTACGATAAAAATATGGTAAAGCGTTATTTTCCAGTGATAAATAAAACTAGAATAAGATTACCTCAAGAATTCATAAATTCAACGAATAAGAAATTCATTCATGTTATAAATTTTAGTGTTTTCAGAAAATATGAGTCAATGTCATATTCATCAACAGGTTATATTTCACTTCATTCAAATTTAGTTCAATCAAACCCATATAATGACCATTTCATAAGATTTTCAGATGGTATTAAAAATGTAATTGATAGATTAAAATATGAACAGATTGACAATATCGAATTTTTGGAATTTTGGTTTAAATATCCTGATGGAAAAAAGATTGAAGTTAAAGATAAAGCTGATACTATAACAAAAACAATTACAATGACCGATCCAGATAGTGGGGAACAAAAAGAAATAAAACAAACGATAGAAACTGGTGAAAGGTCAATTATTATTGATTATGATTCAAAGGATTATTATTCGATAATGTTAATGCTTGAATATTAAATAGCCTTAACAAAGAATTTTTCAAGTGATATTTTATATTCATCAACTATTTTATTATAAATATCATTATATGTTAAATGAAGTTCAGTTGTTGTTCCGTTCTTTGATATCTTAATTGTGCTAATATCCTTTATAGGATTTATTTTTGCAACTGTTCCGCAGCATGAAACCTCATCATCTATGAAAAATTGAATCTTAACGTCTGAATCTTGAACATCACAAAGAATGGCGATAATGTGAATTAATGATTCATAAGGTAAAATAATTAAACCGGATTGGTCAATTAAATTTATTATTGAATCATAATTATTAATTATTATATCACGGTAAATTTTCATTAATTCAGAATTAATGTCTATTTTATATGGCGCATTGCGACTGGAATCGTAATTCCTGGGTTCTCGATGTTTGATGAAAGAGGTGGGGGGTATGTTGGATAAGTGGGAATTTCAACAGGTTCTTTACCGGGTTCAGATAAAATGATTGGGTCTCCATCTTCTTTATTTTGCTCCTCCTCCTTTTTCGGTAAGTCACGAGTTAATAAATTTGGTTGAGTTGCTGACCTTGTTAATTCGGGGCTAACATTAACTTTAACATTTTGAATAATTCGTGATTTATCATCATTTACGTTATAACCAACCGTAATCTCTGCTTTTGCGTTTGTGTTCTTTTGACTTGTGAAACGTCTTCTCATTTATAATTGAATAAAAAAAAGAAAAATATATTTAAAGTTTTATTTAGTTGTTACGGTAATATCCCAAGGTTCATCATTGTTTGCTTATACTTTCTTTGTAACTGCACCAATTATGTTATTGATATTGCTTTGAGTTTCTTCCAGTCTTATTTTATCATTTACAATATCTTTAATCATTTCATTACATGCATTCTTAAAACCATCTGATTTTTCTAATTTACGTCTATCACTTTCTTTAATTAAATCAAAGTTATAACCTTGTTGAGAATAAAGTGGTTTCTTTATCAATTCCTTGAACGCTTCTGAAAGTGAAGATGAAGAAATTCTTGCCACTTGAATTGGTTTAAATTCTGCTTTCATTGCTTCTTTCTGTTCATTGAACACTGGATCGAATAAAGCAACTTTAAAGAATTTCTTAGCTGGAATTTCAGGTCTAATATTTGCATATTGACCATCAAACTGGTTAGAATATCGTGGTAATCCATCCGGTCCCTCTTCAATAGCATTTAATTCTTCATTGAAATAAGAATATGGATTATAACGGTATGAATTAATTGGACCATTTTCACTTTCTCCAATGTATTGTTTAACAGCTTTTCCATTTTCATCAAATTGCATAGGATAACGTTCATTATATGCTTTACGTTTAGGATAATCAGACATAGTTAATTTATAACCATTTATGACTTTAATATTTCCTTGACCATCAGTAACGAAAACTTCATTTATACCATCAGGTTTTCCATTTGGACCCGTAATGTCTGCTTCGTGTGCTTCCCAATTTGGACCATGACGTTTGGCATATGCTTGAGCTTCTGGTAATGTTAAAACGTTTCGCATTTGTTTAACATCTTTTTGAAGACCAGCAACAATATGAACTAATTCTTTCATTCCGTCTGGAACTTTCATAGTTCTATTATATGCACCCTTTTTGTTTGTCCTTGTTTTAATGGAACCTGTAGAAGATTTGCTATTTCTGTCATGTTTAATTATAAATAAAAAATAAAAATTAATTATAAAAAGTTAATCAAATTTAATGGAACCTTTATTTAAATCAACTATTATTTTTCCATGTTCACCTAATTGTTGATATTGTGTGTAAAGTTCATTAATGCTCATTGGTAAATTCACTTGATAAAGCATAACGTTCAACTGTTGACGACTAAACCACTGAAAATGAAAAGGGTGGACAGGTTTGATTTAATGTTTGTGCTTAATGCTTTGAAGTATTGAACAGCCATAAAGACACTGAATGTGTCGACATTGAGTTAATAATTGATTAAAATATGATTTCTCATTAGTTATTAGTTTTGATTTCACGGCATCATCTAGAAAAATTAGTGAATGCAAAAATTCTTTATCAAAATTTGAAATAGAAAGTGTTTCAAATAATTCATCCCGTTGTTTATCAATAATTTTATCCTCTAATCCTTGCTTCTTGATTGTATTATATAATTCTTTATACATTAAAAAGTTTTTTAAATAATCTTCTGCTTCTTCTTGTGATAAATAAATAATTGGAATTTTGATTAAATGCTTTAAAGATTCAAATGTATCATCTGAAGGTGAACCTGAACGGTTGATATAAATTAACACATGTGAATAGGGGGAAGTGTTAGCAATAATGATAATTTGTTTTAATATCGTTAATGTTTTACCTTTATTTTGTTTACCAATTGCTGCAGTGATTGAATTTAAGTAACATTCAGAATATGGAATTTTCATTAATTTTTCCTTAGATAGAGCATTTCTATTATCACTCAATGCTTCATTAATCATATCATCTACGTATGTATTATATACTCCCGCTAATTCTTCATAAGGGGTGGATGAATTTAAATCCATTTAATCAAAAATAAATTTATAATTTTAAACATTTCTATTCATCAATATTTCATCATATGAACTTCTATACTGTGGTGGTGTACCTGTTGATGATATTTCAAACCTTCATCCGGTGTCCATGTCCAATATGTAGTCCTAGTAAACCAAACCTGAGGAGGATTTGTCACCTTTGAACAGTAAGTGTCATTTTCACCCTGAATGATTGGATAAGCTTTCACTTGTACTGTAACTTGTGAATTGAAAGTTTCTAATCCATCAAAGAATATACCCGCTCCATCACGTTGAACTGGAATAGTGCATAAGAATGAAGTTTGGTCTTTCCATGTTCTAGCTAATGGTGTGCCATTATCATCATTCAGTGGTCTAGTTAATGAGTCCTCATATTCTTCTGTGCATTCATTCACTCCATCTAAATCAGAAGCTTGAAGCATACGTGTAAAGAATATGTCACCCACTGTGGTCATCGCTTGATCGGGGAAGTTTCTGGAATCTATAGTGACCTGAAGACCTCGAAGCATTGGATTTTCTAAAAACTGTTCTTTGCATTGCATTCTTCGGAAATGTTAACACAACATCTGTAACATTATGAAGAGCGTATGAGAAATCTGAGCTAATACCTTCAGGAGTGATGCAACCTCCATTTAGTGAACGAACGTCAATATGTTGAGCTGGAATCATGAATGGATCTTCCTTACTGAATAAACGTGGTATTGCTTTAACTGATTCTTCAATTAAACCGTATCCTGGTGTAATGCATTTATCCTCTAAAACTTCCATCTTTGTGCATGAAATAATAACGTCATCAACTGTTGCGTCAGCAGATGTAGCGGCTAAGCTTGTAATTAATTTGGCAGGAAGTCCGATTTGTTGGAATTTGCGATCATATTTATAAACATGATTCATAATCTTTTCATAATTTTCATCAGTTATCTTTTCATAAACGTAATTTTGTAAATCAGCAACTCTTAACGGGTCAACCTGACAAAATACTAAAGTATCCCTGAAAACATAATATTTAAGAATGATTTCACCAAATGATTTAGGATAATCATCGAACGCCTGAAATGCTAACAAATCATTTACCGGAATAATCATATCAAAAGTGACATCAACTTCTTCATTTGCTTTCTTGAAAACTTCTGAAGGGTCAATATATTTACCACATACTGAGTTATCATATTTTGAACATTATTATATAACGAATGAACAAACTTTTTAACTTTCCTTTCTGATTTTGGTTTATATGTTGCAAATGCGAAAGATTCACGGGCGCAATCCATCTGAAGATAACCAGCATCACCTCTTTCAGTTTCTACTTCTAATTGTTTAAAGCTTTGATTTGATGATTTGTAACCAACGAATAAACGCATGCATTTAAAAGCGGCATCACATGTGAAAGCTTTATTTGAAACTAGAGTTGCTTTAACTTTGCGTTTAATATATGTGTCACCTAATTGGTTCACATCATGAGCCGGATTTGTAATTCTTAAATGAGTTTGTTTATCATCAAAATATGGAGCATCAGAGTCATAGCATGAACTTTCAAGTTCTCTATAATATCTTCTACCGTCATTCTTTGCGAATATTTCATTTATCTTTTCGAATGAATGAAACACATTTCCATTAATCGGTTTAGTGTTTGGCACCAAATAGTTAGTCGTCATTTATTAATAAATAAAAATCAAAATTAAAAGATGAAAATGAATTTTTAATTTAATGAAATAATCAACTATGGCTGCAGGTATATTTAAGAAACTGTGGGATAAAGTAAAAAGAGGAGCGCATAAAGTTTGGGAAACAATGAAGAAAGGAGCAAATTGGATATTTAAGAATAAAGAAGCAATTAGTGACGTTGCTGAATCAATAACACCAAAAGCCCCCAATAAGAGAAATATTAAATAAAGGAGAAAAAGTTTATCAAAGACTTCAACCGATACTAAGATAAAAATAATATTTATTTATTTTTCCACTATCTACCTCCTATTTTATTAAGTATTCCTTCAGCAATTCCACCAATTGCGTTACCTGCTTGTGCTCCCATGCCGGATTACCTGCTTTAGTACCTAATACTCCACCTATGATAGTTCCTGCCGTTTTCGCTACTGGTGCCAAAAAGTTTGCAACGGGTTTAATAATCTTTTATGAACCCAACCCGCAGCTTTCTTAATTCCTTCCCATAATTTTTTAAAGAATCCTGCAGCCATTTCTGATTTAATATTAATTAAAAAATATATTTCATCACTTATATTCTAATTTTTATTTAATGATAAATGAAACCGATTTTAAAAATTAATGAAAGTAAAATGTTCAACAAAAAATAAACGTTGTTAAACCAATTACTGAAACAAAAATTTTTTTCATCTGTTGAAGAATTTAATGACTATTATGCTAATAATAAAAAATTATTTGAAGAATTGACAACATGTAAATTGAATAAAATGTTTAAAGTTGATGGATTCAAAATTTCAAAATAAAAGGAGTGGTTAGTTTGAAATCTATTCCTCAATCAAGAATCACCTCATTAATGAAAATAGATGATTTAACAAAAAGAATAGAATTATTGAAGAGCGAATAAATCAAATTATTGATTTCATAAATCATGACTCGTTGAGCCCGGGTCCTTAAAGCCATCACTAAGTTCAAGGTTTATTCATCAAATATTTCATTATTAAATGCAACTTCTGCTAGTTATTTATTTTTTCAATACGATCATTTGAAAGTCTATCGTTTAATTTTTTCTGAAGTTTTTCATTTTCTAGTTCTGAAACTTTATTTGGATGATATGTAAATTCAGGAAATTCTTTGGCCTCGGTTTTGATCATTAATTTACAAAGAACTTTTGTGGTTGGAATTCGTTTGAACCATTTATTAGTTATATTCGTTATATATTCAATATCTGGAATTAATTCCCAAATTTTTGCATTTTCAATTAATTTATTATCAAATGCAAAAGCAATGGGTTTAATATTATGTTTACCTTTATAATATAAACTTTCTACATAATCATCGAAATAAACATCTACTTGTTTAACATTTTCAAGAATTGGTGAAAGAGCATCCATTAATTGATTGACGGTTACGAATCTTGATCCACTCATTTTCTTACGAATTAAAAAAATAAATTATTCAAAAATGTAAGACATGAATTTTTAAAGTTTATTTTTTAAAAAAATTTTATTTTTTATTTTTTTTATTTCATTATGTTTGGGCTGAGTGTAAATGTCTTACAATTTTGAAAATTTTTTAAATCTTGATTTATTCAAAAACGTAAGAATAAAAACCGTAAGAATCATACATTTTTTACTTCATATGTTAAAAAAAATGATACAAAATCGTTCAATATTGTATGAATTCTTACGTTTACAAAAAAAGTCACACAACCCTTCAACATATACTACTTTCCTTTGAAAAATCAAAACTTTTAAAATTCTACCGGAGATAGAATTTTTTGACATGTAAAATACATTCAATTTTTATTATCAGAAATTTGACCAATTTGTCACAGAGATCTTGGAACACTACAATAATTGCAGCAATTAGAAAAAGGAAATCAAAAATCAAATATAAGTCACTATCTTCTTAATACTATATACTCAAAAACGTTAAAAAACATTTAAAATCAAAAAATTAAAAATATTTTAAAGAAGAGCAAGTTAAAGCCAACTTATTGAGTAAAACATTTCGATTCATATACAGTTGTTCTTCCGAAATAAGCGAAAATTAATTACTTGTTGATTGTTTTGAATCTCAAAAAAATTGTTTTTTTTCTCGATCAATTTCAATAGAAAACAATGTATCGTAATTGAATAAAATCACTAAATTAAAAGCAAAACAAATAAGCTATAATTTTTATTCTGGGAAATTTGTTGATGAGATTTGAACAGTTTTGTCACTTTTATAATATTTCTGATAAATTAGCCTATCGTTATTATATTAATGATGTCAATAATGAGATGCCATATATCTTAAGAGTTTTGATTTGACAAGAGAACAGTAAATTTTTCTGAGAAATTGACGCAAATCAATAGACAATGTAATATCCCTGGCAATATTTTGAGTATTGTAAAAAACGATCATTGAAAATTTTTGTGATAACTATCTGAATATTTTTTGAATCGTTTGTCGTGGTCACTTCATTTTCACTTTGATGAAGTGGCTCTGGACAAACACAACACAAGTTGGCTTCGGCGAAAACGCAGTTACAGAACATCTTAAGAAGTTCGTACAGCCAAAGTCCAAGGTTCTCGTTACATTCGGTGGCGGATCCATTGATAAGAACGGCGCACGCGCTGATGTCACAAAGGCCCTCGAGGAACTCCAAGTTGAGGCTCGCTGGGAAGGTGGCATCCAGCCAAACCCAGATTATGCTCGCTGCGTCGAGATCATCAAGGTTGTCCGCGAATTCAAGCCAGATTTGCTTCTTGCTGTCGGTGGCGGCTCAACACTTGATGCCACAAAGTTCATTTCCGCTGGTGCTGCCCTTGATCCATCCATCGATCCATGGGAAATCCTCACAAAGAACACATATCCAAAGGAATGCACCCCAATTGGCTCCGTCATGACACTCCCAGCCACAGGCTCTGAGTGGAATCCAAACTTTGTCATCTCCAAGAGAGCAACAGGCGAAAAACTCGCTGGTTCCAACCAGATCACATATCCAAAGTTCTCTCTTATGGATCCAAAGTACACAATGACACTCCCAGCTCGCCAGCTCCGTAATGGTCTCTTCGATGCAATGGCACATTGCATTGACCAGTTCCTTACAGGCCAAATTAACCCAATGATGGATAACTTCTGGATGTCCATCATGCGTGAGCTCGTTGATATCTCCGAAGACCTCATGAAGCCAAACTCATCCATCGAATTACACGGCAGACTCATCAACGCTGCTACATTCGCTCTCAACCTTGTCTTCACACTCGGAAAGGAAACATGCTGGGGCATCCACATGATTGGCCACATGCTCACAGCTGAATACGGCATTGACCACGGTGCAACACTCGCAATGGTCGCTCCAGGCTTCCTCAGACACTTCCTCTCAACACGTGGATACCTCATGGCTCGTTCTGCTGAACGTGTCTTCGATATCCGCGAGGGAACAGATGAGGAGAAGGCAAAGAAGTTCATCGAACTCCTCCAGCAGTGGGCTCTCAAGTTAGGCCACGTCAAGACAGTCCACGAGTGGCAGGGTGCTTCTCCAGTCAAGGAGGGCGATCTCGAGAAGGTCACAAAGATGGTCATGGACTCCGTTGGTGGCAAGCCATTCGGCTGGCACAAGGAAGTCACTGAGGAAATCACACGTGATATCCTCAAGGAAATCATTGTCTACATTTAAACATTTTTTTTACATTTTTTTGAACTTGTTTGATTGTTTGAGTCTATATAATAGCTTGGAAAGTTCATTATTCTAACATGGGCTGCAATGAGAAATTTATAGAAATATCTGATTGTAAACTGCGTGAATTTTACAATGGATGTGTGTTGAGAATATGTAATTTTTTTTGACAATCTAATAGATATATTCTTATTTATCAAGCATGCACAATTTTTATTGATGTATATTTGTTCTAATGCTTTCATACTTTCTTTTGTGATCAGCTTCATTTAATCATAAGATCATATAGATCTAGATATCTCTCATTACATATAAAACATTGAATTGATTTTTTTGAACTTATCTAATTTTCAGAGAAGCATTAATACAAAGAGCTTTTGGTCTCCCAAATGAGGAAACCTTATATCTTTTGAAATGAAAATTAATGGAGTATTGTTTGCATATTGGGTCATCAGATCGAAGAGATTTTGTGTCCAGATATCGTCAAAAAAGTGAGAATTTCATTTTCCTTGATATACAAATTTGTTTTTTCATTCATGCAGTTTTGAACTATTAAGCATAATCTCCTTTCTTTGTTATCAATCTGGGCTATAGTAACATCATTACTACTTAACTAATCAGTGCGAGCTCCATTTTATGAATATATTGATCTTATTTGAATTGAAAATAAGAACTATTTTATTTGAACATATATATTTATATGATATATAGTGTAAGCAATCAAATTCTCAAGTTTTTGCCTGAATATATTACTAAAATAAATTCTATAATAAAAAATTTATATTATATTTATGATTTTTGCAGTGCAATAACTTTTAAAAGAATAAAAATTACCTCTTGTCAAATATTATTGAATAATTCCGATTGAAATTTCAAATCAATTGAATTGAAAAACTATAATTAAATATTTCCATCAAAAGTATGCACTATTGCATATGTAAAGACAATACGTTCGAGAGAAATTCGAATATCTACTCTTTATTTTTAATTGTTTTTTAATTGAGAGTTTAAATGATCATTGCCACTCTTAAAGCAAAGTGATTAACCTAATCAGTTATTTTTAATGCATAAAAATATAATAAATCTTAAATTTGACGAAATCAATTTCATATCTTAATAGAGGATTGAACGAACATAATTTTGTCTATCAGAAACTTATCTTTATACATTGGTCTACTCATATATTTATGTTCCAAGCCCAAATCATATGCCTTAATTTCCGGAGATTGAACCTCCACTCCGATAGCTTCGTATCAGAAAGGCTCTTTAAATATCACTGACACATAGGGTAATAATATTATCCAATTATTATGCTCAGAAAGTGAATATAGAGAGAACTGAAATTCAGTTTTCGAACGAAAAGTGACACCAAATTGAATGCACTCTTATATTGCATTTCAACAAATTTGCAGACTTTCTGCATGAAAGAGTAGGTTTCTTAGTTAAACATCCTATAACATAGTATATGCATGATTACCTCTCCAAATAAATCAATATACATTTGTCCTAGGCTGGAAAAATACGAATGTTTGGAAAATGAGAGAAATATTGTTTTGAACTCCAACAATTGCATTTGCATAATGTGTATAATATTATCATATATAAAAGAATGCAAAAATATGCTGGGAAAATAATGTAAAGTACTCACAAAATCTAGATTGAGAGGCGGTCAATGACTTTTGAGGGGAAATTAACGCATGGAATTTAATATTATTTAGGTTGATATTCTTGCTTATTATTTCAGAAAAAAATCTTAAAAATTTCAATATGAAAATTGAAAGCAATTCAAAAAAATTGCTAACATGTAAATTTTAATATCCTATGCATAATTTCATATTTTGAACATTTTTTATTTTTGTTTAAAACTTAAAATTTTGCGAATTTAATATAATTTATAAAATATAATACGTATATATATTTAAAATACACTAAATTTAATTGTTAATTGACGTTTTTGGGAATGAATTTTATCAAAACATGCCTGAATCCGAAAATTTGAAAGAACGAATTACACAATCATATATGTAGAATTCAAAATACAAACTTAAAGATTGTATACGTTTAAAATTATTCAGATTGTGTTTGATTTCCACTCATTCTGTTTCTTTTGAACTCTAACACTAACATTTCATGATGATTACATGATCCATTTATACATGGTTGAATTGTTCCAGATTCTACCAGAAAATCAATCCAAATTTCTCAATGCATTCATGTTGATTGGACAAAATTTAAAATTTATCAGCCTGTTTCCAGAGAAACTCATATATTCCCTAATGAAATGTAATTATTGCTACATTTATTTCAATCAAATTTCAAAAAATTGACTGCAGAGCTTGAAAAGGTGATGCATCATGTTGTTATTAGATGTACATATTAGATTTACTATTTCCAAAAAAATGCTCAAATTTGAATAGTTTTTAGAAAATTTGGAATTACACTCCTTACATTATATATAATTAAATGTTTAAATTTTATTTATTTTTCCCTTTTAATTTTATAACTTGCTCTATCAAAACTAACCTCTCAATTGAAGGCCACAAAATCTAAGTAGTGAGGGTACACAAATTATGTATGGAGTACGATTCAATTTTTGAGAGCCTCACTACTTAGATTTTGTGACTACCTTACTAATGCATTGTTTTTTTTATGAAAGTTCTATTGAAAAATTCATAAAAATGTCGACTTTCAAATTTGAAAGAATACATTGAATTATGTTTTTTTATCAGATAAATTTATAAAGCTAATTGTATTCAGTATACTGTGAATCTCAGGATAGGAGTTGTTGCTAATCGTCAAGAAAGTAATGTATTCAATTTTACAACAGCAGTTTTCTTCGTTCATTTTTTGCTAAAGTATTATAGCCCATATACGAATAATTTAGCTAAAATTCAATGTGATATTTTTTCAATCGCCAATTTGACACTTTTTGTTTATGTATAAAATAAGTAAAGGAAAAAATGATAGGGTATACTAAGATATATTAATTTTATAAAGAGATAGCCTTTTATTTTAAAAAAACACAGTTTGAAAGGATTTCATTACGATCAAATTCAAAGCAGTTTGGTCGTCAAAATGCTATAAAATCATCCTTTGAAATTAGTGGATAAAAGGTTTAAAATATACTATAATGAATAATAATTTAGACGGTTTGATTTTGCAATGAAAATTCGTTTTGAATTGATTTAGGTTGATTACGAACAACTCTCAAAGTTGAAACTATATCTATATTCTACACTCTATCTAATACGTGATACGTCATACAAAAACGTCATTGATTGACCAAATTCCATTTAAAAAATTCAATTTGAATACTATTGATCAAATTTTTGTCAAAATCATTAAATCATGGGTTGTCCCTTTGCAGCTGTTGTTGTTGCCGCTGTTATGTTAGGAACAGGCACTATCAACACAGTCACTAACAAAATCATGTATCAGACACATGCTACTACCATCACTGGTGAATCAATGGCATATGATAAGCCATGGCTTTGCACAGTTGTTATGTTCATTGGTGAATTTATGTGTATGATCTTCTTTGGTTGTTTTTGTTTATACTTTTATTTAACAAAACCAAAAGAGGATTCTGAAAAACATGATTCAAGTTCAGAAGAAAAGGAAAAGACAGAAGAAGAACCAAAGGTTCAATTTGTTACAAGAGAAGAAGCTACTCATAACCCAACAGGTGGATTGAACTGGAAATATCCACCATTTGTCTTCTTATTCTCATCATGCGATCTTATCTCAACTACACTTACAGGAATTGGCCTTGTTTACTGTGATGCTTCTATTATTTCCATTCTTAGAGGTTTCATCATTGTTTTCACCCTCTTATTCTCATGGCCATTCTTAGGTGCAAAGCCAACACTCAACCAAGTTGCCGGCGTTTTATTTGCTGTTCTTGGTTTGTGCTTAGTCGGTGGCTCAACAATTGGTGATGGTATGACAGAAGGCGAAGGCGCAACGTTCCCAGCCAAATCTTTAATTGGTATTGGCTTAACACTTCTTTCTCAAGTCTTCTCATCCATTCAGATGGTTCTCGAAGAAAAGCTTCTTAAGGGTGTCATCAGACCAATTCCACCACTTTTCCTCGTCGGATCTGAAGGTCTTGCAGGAACAATCCTTTGCTGCGCTATTGCACTTCCAGCTGTTAACGCCATCCATGGCAGTGATTTCGGTTCTGTTGAAAACTTCAAGAACGCATGGCATATGACATGGCATAGCAAACAAATCACAGGATTGCAAATTCTCTCACTTTTCTCAATCGCTTTCTTCAACTGGTCATCATTCGTTTACGCAAAACTCCTTTCTGCTACAGCCAGATCACTCATTGATTCATCCAGAACAATCATTGTTTGGATCATAATGGTCATTGTTTTCTACGCTTCAAAGCACAGATACGGTGAAGGCCTCACATGGTGGTCCTTCCTCGAAGCAGCAGGTTTCGTTTTTATGATCCTCGGTACTACAGCTCACAACAACATTGCTGGCATCGGTGATAAGATTACCAAGTCTTGCTGTTGTTGCTTTATTGATAAAGACTCTGGCCTCGATGAAAACGAGGATTCTCAGGGTAATGTTAATAATGCGGAATTATAAAGTAAATACTATACTATATATATCTATTTAAATGACCTAGCTTTTTCTTTTTATAACTGTAATCGATGAACTACGCTTTCAAATACGATTTTAATTCTTACGATTAGGTACAGCAAAAAATACAAACATTCGAACTGTATTCTGTTAAAGAAGATGTTTAGTTAGGAAATTTTGCGAATCGTGATTAAATTAAATTTTTGATGATTGACAGTTCAAAATTATGCATTGTGCTCTCGCTAAAACATTAGCTTATATCAATGTGTTATATATTCTAATCCGCTTTCGGATATTACGAATAATTATCGGTGTGATTAAAAATTATTGTTATTTTTATATGTCAGAAGCATATTAAGATCAGTTAAACAAAAAACATAGCTATTTTTAATAAATTATAAAACAAAAACAAACAGAAAAATTTATAAATCGAATCTGATTTTGACTCCTTGCATTCTTGGCTTAATTACATCGGCTGACGGTTTTTGGTACGGGTTTACACGGATTTGTGGCAAAACCGTTGGCTTCACAACCTTTGGCATTCCGAAATGCAAAGAAGGCTGCGCGACCTTTCTATTCTGTGCGTGGCTCATCTTTGCTGGATGTTGCTGGTTGTAAATTTTGATTCTTTCGATTGTCATTCTCCTTGAATCGGATAAATTGGAAGGAGCGACTGGTTTTGATTCCGCGAGGATGCTCTTGGATGGGACAGCGTTATTAGGCTTTTGGTTTTGGTTGTTAAGGAATTCTACGCCGAGATTTGAATCCGACTTTTGTTCTTCAACCTGGGACATAACAGCCTGTTGGATAAAGGTAATTGGGGTTCCTAATGGCGAAGGATCTTGGTAGACTGGTGAAACATCAACATTATTCTTGATTGTCGTATGAGATTGATTCATCATAACAAAAGCAGAGAATGGAATGTTCGTATGAGAGGCTATGTAATTGCGCTCTTGCTTCCTGATGTTCTCAAACACAGGATGTTGCAAAGCTTCGTTTGCGGAGATTCTTCCATTTGGATCGTAAACTAAAAGCTTGGATAACAAATCGATTATGCCTTCTGAAGCATTGGGTAAGAGACTCCTAAAACCTTGTGGAACTCTATGTGGAAAAGCATAATTTATCTGTGAATTTGGATTTTGTTTAAATTGAGATAAAACTTCTCGCCCTGGAGTACCAAGAATATTATGTATACGTGCTATCTGGTCGAGCTGATGCTTTCCTGGGAATAATGGTCTTGTTGTCAATATCTCGTACAAAATGCAGCCAACAGCCCAAATATCAACGGCAGGTCCGTATGAGCCTGATGTGAGGATGCATTCGGGAGCTCTATACCACCTTGTTGCAACGTATTCTGTGAACGGGCCTGTATCAGATGTTGTCCTTGCGCTACCAAAGTCAGCGAGTTTCAATTCGTATGTATCTTTGTTTATCATGCAGTTTTCCGGTTTAATATCTCTGTGGAATAAATTTTTTGCATGCATAATTGATAAAGCTTTCAATAATTGGTAAATTATTAATAAAGATGTTTTTTCGTCGAATGGCTGTTTGTGGTCTCTCATTAATTCGAATAAGTTCTCGTCTAATAGTTCAAATACTAAAGCAAGGCAATTATGTTTTGAATCGAATAAAACTTCTTCTAGACGTATAATATTTGGATTTCCTTCGAGTGCTCTCAAACACATGATTTCTGGAAGTCTAGTTACTTCTTCTACTGATCGAAATCTTTTTTTGAGCATTTTGATTGCGTAGAATTGCTGATTCTTCATCGATTTAACTTTGAATACTTCAGAGAAGGAGCCTTCCCCGAGTTTGTTGATAATTCTCCAATCAGGTCCAAAAAGCTCCTTCTTCTCCATCTATCGTTTTTTTCTTTAATCAAGTACGTTAAAAATTTACATTTTGTATGATTTACGTAGAGGTTAACGATTGGTGTGATTTGTAGTCTTTTTAAATGGCTACTGTAGTACTAGTAATTATATCACATTATTTGGGTTTTATTCAAACCAGAAATTTTAACAATAATTGGTTATTATTACTGCATAAGTTAAATTAAGCCTTTAATCTAGTTATGAAAAAATTTTTGTGTCAAAATTTTTCATTTATTGAGAGCATATAAAAATCATGAATTTCAAAAAATATGCTTAAAAACTATAATTGTGCATGCAATCAATGATATTTAAGGTCATTGAATTATTTGTGAGAGAAATATATTATAGTAATTTACGTATAATAATATGAAAATGTATTTACTAAGCTACAAGAGAAAGAAATTTTGAATACATGCAATTTCAATTCGCTTACTGTTATAGACCGAAAATAGATTTTTTCGGTTTTCTCTTCAAATAATTGAAAGAATGATACTATTATAGGTTTATTATATTATATAGCATATAATCATGCTATAGCCGAAAATTATAAGTTTTGAGAAGATTGAATAAAACACAAATAAATTTGAATGTAAGTTAAATTGCTTGTTGTTTTTAATAGCTATTTAATGAGAAATCCAATATTGCAAAATTCGAATTGAATGATTGAAAGAACAGAAAAAGTCATTCTTTTCAATTTCGAATATGTTTCATTGTATTTATAATTATATGGCAAATAAGATATTTAAACTTGATTTTTGAAGGAAAATTCACAAAATTGAATATATTCAAATAATTTTTATTCAAAAATAAACTAGTTATTTGAGTTTAATACTAATTATCTATTCAAACTACAAAGTTTGTAATTTAAAATATTTTGTGAGATCAGATTGAATTAATTCAAGGTTGTTTTCAATTAATATTAATGACCATATTACGCATTTTCGAACATTCTAAACCAAATATATAAAAATGGGAGACCAATGTTAAATTTGCTAGACATGGGGGAGTTGTCTGCAAAGTTTTAGCTCTTATCTCTAACAAAAAATTACTTTTTAAAAAAATGACCGAATACGTTTCACAGCGAGAAAAAAATAAAAGGCAAGATAGAATTTTCTAGACATAAAGAAGTTGTTTACCGAGTTTTAGCTCTTATCTCTAACAAAAAATTACTTTTTAAAAAAATGACCGAATACGTTTCACAGCGAGAAAAAAATAAAAGGCAAGATAGAATTTTCTAGACATAAAGAAGTTGTTTACCGAGTTTTAGCTCTTATCTCTAACAAAAAATTACTTTTTAAAAAAATGACCGAATACGTTTCACAGCGAGAAAAAAATAAAACTGTACACTGATTTTCATTTTCATTTCCAGTCACTTTACTTATTATTTTTTCTTTTTTTCATTTTAATTATAAATTATTTCGTAATACGTTTATTTACGTTACCATTTTCTTTATTCTTTTGAATTCCATACTAGACACTTATAGAATATTTTGATTGTTAACGTACTTCATTAGAATGAATCCTTACAAAGGGTATGTCGATCGAATTTACCTAATTGGTATTTCCAATCAGATTGAAGAAGGTAAAATGACATGGGAAGAAGCTTGCACCCATGTTCCCATCACCCCAACCCTTCAATCAAATGATTTCAAATATTTAGATGTTTCAAAATCTTTTTTACAAAATCAATTTAGCTTACAGAATATCCCATTGCCTAAAGGCAAGAAAGGTCGTAGGGTCAATCCCTACGACCAAATCAAAGCTCTTGCTGTGATACATGACCACTGGGCCTTTCCCTGTGGTCAAACAAAACAATGGAAACGTTTGAAATTACAACAAATTGATGTATCTTATAGAGAAGTACGCAGATACTTCAAAGAAAATCATTTCACCAAGACGCGATTAGAGCATGCCGGGCCAGAAACAGCAGTAAGATATTGGGCGCTTTCACCCAATCTTATCTGGCACTCAGATGTTCATTATTTTAGGGGTGTTCGTGGCCAGTATATTTATGGCATAATCGATGATTTTAGCCGCAAAGTCCTAGCGTGTATACAAATACCAGATATGCTGGCAGCGACGACAGCGAACGTTGCGGCTTCCGCCTTCATTGAATTTGGCGCCCCTTATTGTTTCTGGACCGACAACGGTTCAGAAAATATGGGCGCCTTTCAAGATCTACTTGATCTTTGGGGCGTCCAATGGCGGCATACAGACTCTCATTCTCCCTACCAAAATGGGAAGATTGAGAGATTCTGGTCGACATTGGAGCGCTGCCAAAGCATTCAGGCTATTCCTGCCTTTATTTGGGAGTACAATAATAACACACCGCATGAAGATCTCCCAATTAATCCATTAACTGGAACAAATTACACGCCAAATCAAATGTATCAGCTGAAACCGAAATACACAAATGCAGATACAGAAAGGTTGTGGCAAATATGGGATACAGATACAGGCATGACCGCTGTTGACACATTCACAGCGTAATAATAAACATAATTTTTTAATTTCATTTTTAACAAGTTTTTTTAAATGTATGTAATGAATAATTCATTAGAATATGATAATGCACATTGTAACAGAATAGAACAATCACCAATTTTTTTTGAAATTAAAAAATAAAAGTAAAAAGTATAAAGTAATCTAACCAAAAAAGATATTTAAAAGAGTTTTGGAAAAAACAGAATAAGGATAATGATATTATTTTAGATACACAATCGATGTACTGAAGAATAATCCGGTAAAATGATGATATAAAATTAGATTATTTTACAAGTAGCTAAAAGAATAAAACTATAATATAAAATAAATGAAGTTTAATGAAACAATAAAGGTTAAATAAATAATAAAGATTTTTATTTTATATCAGTATTGAGAAGAAGTAACAGCTGACACTTGGTAGACAACTTCTTTATGTCTAGAAAATTCTATCTTGCCTTTTATTTTTTTCTCGCTGTGAAACGTATTCGGTCATTTTTTTAAAAAGTAATTTTTTGTTAGAGATAAGAGCTAAAACTCGGTAAACAACTTCTTTATGTCTAGAAAATTCTATCTTGCCTTTTATTTTTTTCTCGCTGTGAAACGTATTCGGTCATTTTTTTAAAAAGTAATTTTTTGTTAGAGATAAGAGCTAAAACTCGGTAAACAACTTCTTTATGTCTAGAAAATTCTATCTTGCCTTTTATTTTTTTCTCGCTGTGAAACGTATTCGGTCATTTTTTTAAAAAGTAATTTTTTGTTAGAGATAAGAGCTAAAACTCGGTAAACAACTTCTTTATGTCTAGAAAATTCTATCTTGCCTTTTATTTTTTTCTCGCTGTGAAACGTATTCGGTCATTTTTTTAAAAAGTAATTTTTTGTTAGAGATAAGAGCTAAAACTCGGTAAACAACTTCTTTATGTCTAGAAAATTCTATCTTGCCTTTTATTTTTTTCTCGCTGTGAAACGTATTCGGTCATTTTTTTAAAAAGTAATTTTTTGTTAGAGATAAGAGCTAAAACTCGGTAAACAACTTCTTTATGTCTAGAAAATTCTATCTTGCCTTTTATTTTTTTCTCGCTGTGAAACGTATTCGGTCATTTTTTTAAAAAGTAATTTTTTGTTAGAGATAAGAGCTAAAACTCGGTAAACAACTTCTTTATGTCTAGAAAATTCTATCTTGCCTTTTATTTTTTTCTCGCTGTGAAACGTATTCGGTCATTTTTTTAAAAAGTAATTTTTTGTTAGAGATAAGAGCTAAAACTCGGTAAACAACTTCTTTATGTCTAGAAAATTCTATCTTGCCTTTTATTTTTTTCTCGCTGTGAAACGTATTCGGTCATTTTTTTAAAAAGTAATTTTTTGTTAGAGATAAGAGCTAAAACTCGGTAAACAACTTCTTTATGTCTAGAAAATTCTATCTTGCCTTTTATTTTTTTCTCGCTGTGAAACGTATTCGGTCATTTTTTTAAAAAGTAATTTTTTGTTAGAGATAAGAGCTAAAACTCGGTAAACAACTTCTTTATGTCTAGAAAATTCTATCTTGCCTTTTATTTTTTTCTCGCTGTGAAACGTATTCGGTCATTTTTTTAAAAAGTAATTTTTTGTTAGAGATAAGAGCTAAAACTCGGTAAACAACTTCTTTATGTCTAGAAAATTCTATCTTGCCTTTTATTTTTTTCTCGCTGTGAAACGTATTCGGTCATTTTTTTAAAAAGTAATTTTTTGTTAGAGATAAGAGCTAAAACTCGGTAAACAACTTCTTTATGTCTAGAAAATTCTATCTTGCCTTTTATTTTTTTCTCGCTGTGAAACGTATTCGGTCATTTTTTTAAAAAGTAATTTTTTGTTAGAGATAAGAGCTAAAACTCGGTAAACAACTTCTTTATGTCTAGAAAATTCTATCTTGCCTTTTATTTTTTTCGCTGTGAAACGTATTCGGTCATTTTTTTAAAAAGTAATTTTTTGTTAGAGATAAGAGCTAAAACTCGGTAAACAACTTCTTTATGTCTAGAAAATTCTATCTTGCCTTTTATTTTTTTCTCGCTGTGAAACGTATTCGGTCATTTTTTTAAAAAGTAATTTTTTGTTAGAGATAAGAGCTAAAACTCGGTAAACAACTTCTTTATGTCTAGAAAATTCTATCTTGCCTTTTATTTTTTTCTCGCTGTGAAACGTATTCGGTCATTTTTTTAAAAAGTAATTTTTTGTTAGAGATAAGAGCTAAAACTCGGTAAACAACTTCTTTATGTCTAGAAAATTCTATCTTGCCTTTTATTTTTTTCTCGCTGTGAAACGTATTCGGTCATTTTTTTAAAAAGTAATTTTTTGTTAGAGATAAGAGCTAAAACTCGGTAAACAACTTCTTTATGTCTAGAAAATTCTATCTTGCCTTTTATTTTTTTCTCGCTGTGAAACGTATTCGGTCATTTTTTTTAAAAAGTAATTTTTTGTTAGAGATAAGAGCTAAAACTTTGCAGACAACTCCCCCATGTCTAGCAAATTTAACATTGGTCTCCCATTTTTATATATTTGGTTTAGAATGTTCGAAAATGCGTAATATGGTCATTAATATTAATTGAAAACAACCTTGAATTAATTCAATCTGATCTCACAAAATATTTTAAATTACAAACTTTGTAGTTTGAATAGATAATTAGTATTAAACTCAAATAACTAGTTTATTTTTGAATAAAAATTATTTGAATATATTCAATTTTGTGAATTTTCCTTCAAAAATCAAGTTTAAATATCTTATTTGCCATATAATTATAAATACAATGAAACATATTCGAAATTGAAAAGAATGACTTTTTCTGTTCTTTCAATCATTCAATTCGAATTTTGCAATATTGGATTTCTCATTAAATAGCTATTAAAAACAACAAGCAATTTAACTTACATTCAAATTTATTTGTGTTTTATTCAATCTTCTCAAAACTTATAATTTTCGGCTATAGCATGATTATATGCTATATAATATAATAAACCTATAATAGTATCATTCTTTCAATTATTTGAAGAGAAAACCGAAAAAATCTATTTTCGGTCTATAACATTTCAATTCGCTTACAGGTGAATATTGTTTTTATGAAAACCGATTAATATCATTTAATATAAAAATATTTCTTTCTCTCATACAATTTGTTGTCAATTTTTTATTCTATGATTTTATGATAACAATCAAATTCAACAATCATGTGGTTTAATTTAGAATCTAATGGCATTCTGTATTTGAGGCTGTTTTTTACTTCCAAAAATATATATAATTGATCAAGTTGCAAAATTTGAATCAAAATTAAGGTGAATCTTTGATAATTTAAGTTTAAAATAGGATGAACGTTTATCAAATGATAGAGATAGTTTATTTGAACAACACAAATATATACAAAATGAGTAAATCAAATTAAAAATATGAAACTCCGGAATATTCTTCAATGAAACCTGTTGAATTGTAATATAATATTATGCCTGATATAGTTACGCAGACAAGAACTTCGAAAATCGATAGGATTCCCCATAAAATGTTTCTAAATTTATACATCATCAAATAATATACAGAAGGAAGTATAAAAGCAAGGAAAATGAAGCAAGTGCTGCCTATCAAGTTAAGTAAATCAGTTAACTTCCATCCCGTGTAAGTAATAAAAATAGCTAAAAGCCAAACAACAACGCCGCTTGTGAGTCTTGCTGCTTTGTGGTCATCACTGTATTTGAAGAACAAATCAGCCAAACAGCAAGCATTAATGTAAATGTACATTGTATTCGTCAAAATTGTCTTCAATAAACAAGTAATTTTTCCGATAATGATGAAAATGTCCTTTTGGTTCTCAAAAGATAAGAAAACCAAGTCATCTTCTTGCTTTGAAAACAAGGCTAAATATCCAAGATATCCGCCCAGTAAATTGAAGACAAGAGAAGTTAATGATGTTGCCCATGTAATCTTGCATATCTTTGACCTTGTTGCGTCTTTAATATCCTTTGAAATCATCGCAACAAATGGTGAAACAAAGAAAACAACGTTAAATAGGTCAAAGCATGCAACTGTTTGGCTGAAATCCTTTCCCCAATAAACAATTTCCTTTTGCGGATCAAAGCCATTTTCTTTAATGGTTTTACCAGCAACTACGGCTTCCATGATGAGACAGACTACTAAAAGGAAATTTCTCATGTAGGAAATGTACTTCATCTGGGAAAATCGGTTGTGGAAGAGAGATGGAAAGAAAAAGATAAATGTCAAAACAAATTTTTTGAACCATTTGCTACTGAACACTGAGAACTTTGAAGGATCAACATAGGATAATAAATCATCGTATTCTGTTAAGAAATCATTTGTTGAGACAGATGATAAAGATATGAAAGCAACAAAGAGAATGATTCTTGGTATTATAGATGTTTTTCCATTAAATACATCTTTCCAGATAGATATGTAAGAGTTTTCCCCATTAAACGACCATGTTTTTACGAAGATGTGAAATGAGAGTTGTGTTAGAATCAAAGCTAACACACTTATAACGATCACTTGGAATATACCTGTCTGAAATGAATAACTCATAAAGAATGGATCATTAGAGATGCCAGAGTTTAATAAAACTAAGACAGCTGTGAATGCACTAATTCCGGTAGACTTAATACTGTTTCTATCATGATAGAGCATTGTATCACCGTCTAAGGAGTTGACATTAAATTTATATTCATTAAATAACAAGTCCCCGCCAATCATTTTTGATTTTGGGAAGTTTTATTTTAAAACGAAATTGAATGAGAAATTAGGAAAATTTGAGAGATTAGAAAATTAAGCAAGAAAAAGATAATTATACGTATCATCAGTAGCTGGAGAAAAGCAATACAGAGGGTGTGCTTGAAGGTTTGAAAATATAACGAATTCAAAGGCTTTTTTTTCTGAAAGGAGTAAAAATTTGAGAATGATCCGTTTTTATTCCAGATCAAAAACTCAAAATTACTCTATCTGAGAAAATGGAAAGCCGTATTTATAGAAGAATTGCTTTTGAGAAGATAATTTTGTGTCTTCTCAAATTTTTGAGAGAGTCATAGATGTTGAATAACTGTAGAATGTTAATAAAAAAGCAGTTTGTTTCAACAAAAATTTTCAGAAGAGCTTAGAATTTTTTGAAAAAGGGAAGAAACTGTAGATTGTATGTCCATTGTATAACATATGAAGTAAGGGTTTCGTTTTGCGAAAAAAACGTACAATACGCAATTTCGCTAAAAAACATTTAGCTAGCAATTTCGACCTTTGACTCCACTTAAGACGTCACTTTTTTAATTTTGCGGTATCATATTTTTGGAAAATCTTTATGAATATTATATAAAAAGTCTCTTTAATATCTATATTTCATATTTTTATCGATTTTTAAAGTTTTTGCGAAAAGTATTCAATTATTTTTGCTATTTGGTCGGGTAAATGTCAGATTTGCGACATTTTCTGATATGATATTCAGATTCTACGTTGATAATAATGCTTATAGAACCCTCTTGCTATTGTGTCAAAATTGCGAAACCGATAGCAAAAATATCTCGCAATATCAAAATTGAGATATTGAGTGAATTATGCATTATAGAGATTAAAAATCTGATTTGTGAAAACATCTCATCAGTTTCTAGCTAATTCAAAAATCTTTACTATCTTATTCGATTAAAATGAAAAGGGAATAGTTTCATTATGCTTTAAATGACAGCCTTATAATATAATCATAGTTTTCGCTCAATATGCAGCATTTTTTTTCGAAATCTATGGTCAATATCCTAAATACTGATTGCTTTGCATTCATATCTCTTACATTTTCTATACCCACATCACTATTCATTGCTATTCCTATCTTTTTCATTTTTGTTTGTTTCTCATAATTTCTCAAAAAACACGATAACTTGATATTTGTAAATATCATACTTTATAACGTAAATAAGAACTTGACCTATTAAGAAAAGCAGTAATGAAAAGAAAATCTGAAATTCATAAAAATTACAAGTTTCTGATGACAATTAGCTTAATTAAACCAGGTACAAGATTATATAATTGTATTTTCTATCCAATTATCCATATAATATCTTATCCAGAAAAAATAACTTGATCAATACCAAATGATTTTTTAACTAGTAAATAAAGTATTTTCTTTACACACACATTGTATATCATAGTTTTTTTTTTGGTTTCGCAAAACATCCAAAAACAAATATGCTATAAAAGTGACAATTTTAGCAAAACGAAACCCTTATATGAAGTTATACAAAAATACCCTAAAATGAAGTTCTTGCCAAACTGTACTGTTAAAAAATTTATAATAATATTTGGTTCATTGGCAAATTATATGAAAAATTGATACGAAGAGGGAAAAAAAATTAATTCGGCCAACTTTGAAAATTTGATGGGTAAAATCAAATCATTGTTATTTTCCCCTAAAAATGCAAATACAATAAATTATTGGTGATATGGAAAAGAATCATTTTAATCTCGAGGTTAAGGCATTGGCTAGTTCATTATTATGGATTAATCTATTACGGGGACTTGAATGGAAATTTTAAAGTTGGAGCGCCATTGGTGTAGCGGTTAGCATGTGGGTTTCCCAAACCTATGATCCGGATTCGATTCCCGGGTGGCGCATGATTTTTAATTTTTTTTTTGAAAATTTCTAAATTTTGAAAATGAAATATTTTCAAGAAATTAGATTCTTACGGAAAACAGTGATGCATATAACAAATCCGGGTTTTATTTGTCCAGCAAAGCTATATTTTTATGTTCACTTAAGATTTTCAAGATATTCTTCTGCCTCCATTCTTTCATTTGGGTTTATTTTCATAGTTTGATCAACAATCCATCTGATTATTTCATATACTTGATTAAAAGATCATTTCCGCAATATGCTTTGAATTTTTGAGAATTCTCTCTACAAAAACCAAAATCAATGCGTTTTGGATGAAAAAAAATTATCAAACAAGATAACAGCTGGTTTTATGTCTCAATGACGAATACCTCTATTGTGCAGGTAACACAAGGCTTTCAATTTTGAAGTATTCATGAGGTTTTACACATATTCATGGTTGTTGTATCTCTGCGAGTCTCTGTTTTCATGAAAATTATTCAGAGATAACGATTATGAGACTAATGGCAACCATGATTTTGTCAAATGGGTTAGGAAGGAATACACTCTTCCTACAAAGTGATTAGTCTGCATAAACATAGCATGACTTAATTTTATTAGTAACTTTTCCAGGAGAACATAGCAAAAGGTTTCTTTCATGGCAAAATCGGGAGAGTTCACTCTTGGAGCATTGCAAAGTAAATTGATCATTGTTATTTAGATTAAAAAGATCCTTTAACATAGGCTAAACTAATTCAAGCACTAAGCAAATATAGTTTTCTTCAGTATAAAAAAATGATTAAAATGAATTTTTTTGGATTCAACTTTAAAAGAAATATAGTAGAACATTTAATAACATATGTCAAATTTACAATTTTATCTCAATTCATCAGTATTCTTCCAATATTTTTTCTTAATTAAAAATGAATTCAAACAAAGAGTATTTTAACCCCTATGAATAAGTGGAAAGCAATAAGCATATATGTGAAATATATAGTTTGGGATAATATAGCTGTTTAATGCTTAAAAAAATGAAAATGAAAAATCAATTTTAGGAATCGAAGGGTTAAGTCTCAAGAGTTAAACCTTTAATGCAATAAGCTCCTAACATCCGTTAATGTTATTAAGTTAGAATTAATTTATTTGAGAAAGTAGCATAAATTGGAGAAAAGATTATAAAAATCTCAAATAATTAATTCTAATGTCTGCGAACGAATTTATGTATATAATCTTATGTATTCAAATTATTTTGAATGCAATATTTGAAATAAATGATTTCTTTCCGGCAAATTAACTCAAATATTTCATAATTTATCCGTTTCTGACAAAGATAAAACTTTAATATGCATATCCTGCTTAAACTCATATGAAAATCTAAAATTTATTGATTTTCCTGCTGACAAAAATGATATGAAATTGTGTTCTGAAAATTTCACATCATTTCTAATGTTGTTTGTATTAACAGCACTCACAGCATCCAGAATTGTAAGACCACATAGATTGGTTCCAGTCCAATATCCATATCTTGTCAATGAAAATGAAGAATATTTCGATGACTATTATCTTTCACAACTTGATTATGATGAATCAAATAAAGGTAAATTGAAGAAATTTGCCCAGAAGGTTGAAAAAGCAGCTGATGCCGCCGAAAGAGGAATCAAGGTAGCCAAAACAGCTCATAAGATTTACAAGTGGGGAAAAAGATTCTTCCAAGAAGCAGAAGAGAATTCATTCGATCAGCCAATCGAATATCAATATTATGAAAATGAGTACGATGATGAAGATGATCTCAATGACTATTTTCTTTCACAACTTGAAGATGAAGGTGAAAACAAAATCAAAGCAAAGAAACTTGCCAAGGCTGCAAAGACAGGATACAAGTTATGGAAGATTGGAAGACTTTTCCTTGAAGAAGCTGAATCAAACAAAGACAAGGGAAAGAAATTTGTTAAAGGTGCTAAAAAGGCATATAAGGCTGCCAAAACTGCCCATAAAATTTATAAGATCGGCAAAAGGTTCTTCCAAGAAGCAGAAGAAAACTCTCTTGTCCAACCAATCCATTTATACAGAGGGCCTTTAGCATCGTATCGATTCTCAACTTCTCGCTATCCAATAAGGCATCCAAAAGTTTTCTAAACCAAGAAATTCAATTTATTCCAGTTAAGGTAAAACTTACTTTATATTGAATTTTTTATGTTTTTGCAAATGATTTTGAAATGAAATTCTGTTATTTTAGTGCATATTGTGAACTCTCAATATTCTTTTCCCGAATAAAATACAAAATTAGCAAAAAATATTGTTTAGTGTGGTTTGTAGGGAATTTGATTAAAATATTTGACTTGTTATTTGTAATCTTAATACTTTTTAAGGTATCCTCTAAAAAGTTAAGATTATATTACAGATTTATATACGAAAATAAGTGTCAAATCTGAAACATTAGTAATACCCAAATTGAATATATACAAACATCCCTAAATTTGAAACTACGATTCAATTATATTTGGGACATTTAAAAGCATTTTCTTAATTGATAATTTTCATTCTTGCGTTTCTTATTGCTATGGATTTTTATTGCTGAAAGTTTCAACGTTCAGCAGTGATTTTTTTGAAAATTTGATATAATATTTATTTTTGCTTTTTTGATATATCAAAGTTGTTCATATCATTATGATATATGTGGAAGTGAGTTCATTAGGTATTTAAGATATACCACTTAGTCACAATTGAGAAAAAAAATATTTTACTCCCGGATAGTTTATTTCTATATGACGGGTAACTTTTGTCTGTTGTTGGTGTCAGATTTAGGATGATCAAATAAAAAATATTTTGGTTTGTCAGACAAAAAAATAAGGTAAAACCGTTTTCTGACTCTTTCATGTCAAAAACGAAAATTTATTATGTTAATCCTTTTAATGTTAGCAATTTTTTATTAGTTATTCAGCCAATCTGACAGTCGGGTTATCAATTGAAATACCATTGAAAAAAATATGATCATTTTTATTAATGTTTGTTTTAGCGACATTAACTATAAGTGCCGCCAAGACCCAGGATCAGTGGTTCAAGCACTATAACGAGCATTTCGTTGTTCCATATTTCAAGAAGCTTGATAAGAAGAACGCAACAGCCTTGAAATATCTTGCTCAGCCAGAATATTTCCATTCCGTCATTCTCCCAAGAATGCAGAGAGAGATTTATAAGGGCATCATGAACCAAACATTCCATTTCAAGCCAAAGTATAACTACACAATGTCACGCCGTGTTAAAAACAGTCTCTCAAAGGAAACCATGAGATTTTTGAAGCTCACTCATCCACAAGGATTAATTAACCCAGCAATTCCATACATGATGAAGTACATCAACAATGCTGTCAATGGATATTCTGAATTCGATACTAGTCTTGAAAAGAATGCATTACCAAAGCAAATCACAGATCCGTTTGTCCGCTTAGGAGAAATGATCAAGAGAGAAGCTGCAAAGTACTCTGTCGTCAACTCCACAGTTGAAAAAGTCAAGAAGTTCCTTAGAGAAGCACCAAAGGATCAAACAATTGTCCTCACAAAGCAAAAGGTTCAAGATCTCCTCGCAAAGGCCCGCCAAACTGCAGTTGCTCTCATCAAGGAAGCCGAATCCAAGCAAAACGCAGAAGAGGAAGAAGACCCAGAAAATGCTTGGATCACAGATCTCGCAAAGAAGTATGCTCAGGAACTTGGTGTAACAGCTGCTGTTGAAAAGGCAAAGCATACAATTGGAGCTTTCTATGATAAGTACATCAAACGCCAACCAAAGGTTGAATCAAATATTTTATGGAAGTATTTTCCTCCCAAAGAAATTGAAAGACATGTCAAAGAAATTTTGGGTACAATGAGAACATATCAACAAGCAGATAAGAACTTTTATAATCCCTCAATCGTGGATCAATGGTGGAGACCGGCACCAAAGGCAAATAAGAAATACGTTCGTCCCGAATTCAGGCCATATTTCGAATGGATATAATTAATTTAAAAAAATCTAAAAGAAATTAAATGCTTAATTTCATAAAACATTTATACAATAATAATTTTTTAAAAAAGTTTGAAATCAAATTCTAAAATTATTTCTTGAATTTTTAAAAATTTAATGAATATTTTAATTTTATTCAAAATGTTTGTTTAGAATCCATCGGAGTTCTATGGATTATCAAGAGAATTTCAATACCATGCTAATAAACAATAGGAATAATTGCAGTTTAGCTTTTAAATTCTTTTCAAGTTGAGTTTCTTCAATGGACTATTTGTATTTTAAATAAAATCCGTCATTTCCTTGAGAAAAATATTTTTTAAATATATCATTTGTTTTATACGTTTTTTCGTAATAAATCTATTTGTATTTGTTGTATTTGAGTATGAAGATAACAAAAACTACGGCATAAGACGCAGTACACTGGGCTTCGTTGCCATTTTATTTACCATGTTAAGAATAAACTTAACAGACATGCTTTGTTTTCGACGAAGCCATCTAAAATAACGTACATCTAAATAAAACTAAAAAACTGTAAAATTTCTTTATTTGATAGTATACTTCAAATTATGCACTATACCTTCTAGAATTCTATAAAAAAAGGGTAGTGGGGCTTCCAGGCGCGTTGCGCCCTCTAGCCCTGAAGATGTTTAGTATAAATGAAGTTTATATTCAGAGGGCTTCCAGGCGCGTTGCGCCCTCTAGCCCCGAAGATGTTTAGTATAAATGAAGTTTTTATTCGGAAAATTGTTAGTCTTCTGGGTCGAAAACATTATATAATGTGTCGCTTTTCACAAATTATATATGTTTTCAAGTTTTGTCACTTTTCTGTCACTTTTCGGGTAAAAACATTTTTATTATTATATATAAATGAATTTTACAAAACCACCGTTACCGTTCTTTGGAAATAAGAGTAGATGTAAAGATATTATATTGAGAGAACTTAAGAAACTACCGAATGGTCTAACATTTGTAGATTTGTTCGGTGGAAGTTTCTATATATCCCATTTATGTCATACAATATTCCCAGACTCAAAGATTATATGCAATGACTTCGACAACTATATGGACCGTCTCAAACATATTCCAGACACAAACAATATATTGAAAGAGTTAAAAGAAAAGATACCTATAGGTAAGATGGAACGTATACCATTAGATAAGAAAAATATTGTGAGAGAGGTTTTGAAAAAAGCAGAATATATAGACTGGGATAGTATATCTGCTAGACTATTATATAGTGGTGCTATAAGAGTTCATGACATTGAAACACTTATGTCAAAAGTTTTATATCTTAACTATACAAATGTTTTCAAAGAGGACATAGAAAAATATATTGAGGGTATAGAGTTTGTGAGATGTCATTGGACAGAGTTGTATGAAAAATATAAAGACAAGGAAAATGTTTTCTTTATAGTGGACCCGCCGTTCTATAACACATGGGATTTTCAATACCAAGTAGACTGGACTTTGAGAGACTCTTTAGAAACTTTAGACGTTATACATAACCATCCATGCTTTTACTTTACATCCGATAAAAGTGGTTTGGAAACCGTTATGAGATGGTTAGAGGACATACATGACTATGAGTTTATATATGACAAGATAGAATATGAGAGAGGTCCTATAAACCGGAGAAAGTGTCACAATAAAGAAATTTTATTAGTAAGTAAATGTGGTTTGAAATCGGATTGTTAGTTTTAGGTTTTTTCCATTGTGTCATTTATTTATTTGACGTGGCAGAAAAGTACAGAGAATATGAAGATGAACCAATGCCTGCAAATGTTCAGTATATGTACTCGTAAGAGATATTTTTATCTAATATTAAATGGACGCACAGAACTTAGCGAATGCACAGCAACCTGGACAACCAAACCCAGAGAATATTCCAAATGAAGTTAGAATACAAATTGCAATGGCAAACTATGGTCAAGTGCCAACAGATGTACAAATGCAAACTGCCATGTCAAATGACGCTGCGTTAGGTTTGCCACCATGGTATGCAAATATGAGATGGAAAGAGTTTTATACAAACCCTGAAGTGGGATATAAACAACTTTATGCAGATGACGCGAACACAGGAGTTGACCCCGAATATGTTTTCTACCAGAGGAGAAACAGAATGTATGAGCTCCAGTTAAAGAATGCTATGGAACTCAACAGGAAACGCAAAAGACTAGGCGGACATTAGATTTTTACATATAGTAAAATTGGTTTCTTCAGTAAGATAGGAAACTTCTTCAGAAGAGTTGGAAGAGGTATATGGAATGGCGTCAAAACCGTAGGAAGAGGAGTATGGAACGGTGTCAAAAATATTGGTAAAAGAGTAGGTCAGTTCGTTGGTATTATACCTAAAGACCCTGAACCAGAAGAGCAAGCTCCTGTTATACAACAGCCTAAACCTGCACCACAGTCTAGTTGGCAACCAAATCCAACACCTCAACCGTATTAAAAAATTATATTTTTACCGTTCGATAGTAGTTGTATATGAAACTAAGTTCTAAGTAAAACGCATGGTATAATGGAATTATTCTTTTTCTTCCATCTGTAGTAAACCATACTTGAAAGTCTGAAATACTTCCACTTGGTGGTTCGTATAACTTTGTAGGTTTTTCGTAAAAGTCATTTGCCAAGCATAAGAAAGAGTTTTGGGCGCCAGAAAATGAAGCATGAACAATAATAGCATCTGGGTCGAAAATATTTTCATATGTTCCATTAGGGTTTTCGACTTCATAATAGTCCGGGTGTACTGGATATGCTGCAGGCTGATTTAACATCCTCATAAATCTATACCATGCCAAGTTGTTATATTTTGTAGAAATATAAACGTTTTCTCCAAGGTCTTCTATTTTATTGATTTTAACAGTTGCATTTTTCCTGTCATAAATAATATCGAGATGGTATTCTCCTTCGTCAATGTTATACTGGTTTGCATATTCGATATAGATATCGTTTATTTTTTCTTGAAAAGCTTGAAGAGTTGTTTCTAAATTTATAAGCAAACTAACTTGTAAAAGTTTCCCTGTTCAAATTTCTCATACATACGTTTTTCTTTGTTATAGTATCGAACTTCAAACCGACCGTAAATGGGAAACCATGTATGGCTTCTGAAATGAACTTCATTCTACGAAAGCCAATAGCTTTTGTGACGGATGGGTCTCTTAACCATCTTAATGGGTAGTCAAAACGATAGCCTTCATGCTTTACGGTATCTCTCTCAAACTTTTGACCGACATTAGTAAAAAGTTCATCTAATGGTTTAGTTGTAGCAACTCTAGAATTTTCTTTTTCTATTGGAAGCATATTTTATCTATAATAAAAATGTCAAATGAAACAGCGTCTATGAGAGAAATACAACACAACCGACAACTCATTATGCAAGCTCTAAATAAGAACACAACAAACTTTTCAAACTATTCTAAGATATCTGAGTCATTGAAGGGGGTGACTTAAAACTGACAATAAACCCAATGACAGATGAGTTTCTATTTCAAGACAATAAGAACAATACTGTCTGTATAAATCCAACAAAAGGAACTTTAAACGAGAAACCTATAAATGAACTTCTTTTGAAAGCAGATGTTGACAACAAAGCTGACAAAGAATATGTAGACGATGCAATAGCAAAAGAAGAAGAAAGAGCTAACAATGCTTATGCAACAAAAGAACATACTCATCCTGAACTAGCAGACAAAACATATGTTGACAATAAAATGTCAAGTGAAGTGACAAGAGCTGAAAACGAATATTCTAAAAAGACTCATATACATTATATTAACCAAATACCAAGTCTTAAGGAAACATTAGAGACAAAAGCAGATAAGACTCATACACATTCTATATCTGATATTACAAACTTACAACTAACTTTAAACAGGAAAAGTGACGTTGGACATACACATACCATTGCAAATATTACAAACTTACAAGAAACCTTAAACAAGAAAAGTGACGTTGGACATACACATACCATTGCAAATATTACAAACTTACAAGAAACCTTAAACAAGAAAAGTGACGTTGGACATACACATACATCTTCTGAAATAACAGACTTAAACGTTAGCCTTGAAAATAAAGCAGATAAAACATATGTCAATGAAATATACCAAAGTTTGATAGGAACAAAAAATATTGAAACTATTGTTGGTGACTTTTCTGTCAATGAAGAAAATAAATATTTTAGATGGCAGTTGGTACAGTCCTTAAAAAATGGTACACGGCATAAACTCATTCCGAAAAATAACAATAAAATGTATGTAAGCTATAAAAAGAATGATGGTACACAAGTTAAAGTTCCATTAGACAACAACTGCTACTTAAACTTATATGGAGACGAACAAAAGAAATATTTAAGAGTTTATGAAATGGCAGATATGACATTGCCTGACCCAGCTCCGGCACCACATTATTATGACTATGGAGATGACGACAGAACACCACATGTAGATGAACAAAAGCTAACATTATATTTAGATTATTATAGATATAAAAGATATAATGCAATAGAAAAAACGAGAATAGTATATTATTATACAGATGACAGAAATAAATATTATAGTCAAGATTTTACCTACCCTGAAAACATAAGATTATATTATAAAAAATATTCTGACACAAACCAGAAGAAACCTGAAATAGCTGCACTATATTTTAAGTTCAAAAAAGACAATCCTATAATATCTCATATGTTTGATTTAATGAACCCAGTAGGTTCTATTTATACATCTATGGATGCAAGAGGTCCTCAAGTAATGTTTGGTGTTGGTGCATGGGAACAAATAGTTGACAGGTTTTTGTATTGTGCAAACTCTTCAAAGGAAACAGGTGGAAGTAAAACGATTTCAGGTGAAAATTTACCTGCACACAGTCATTACATAGATTTAAGTACATCTCAAGCAGGTTGGCATAAGCATAGATATTGGGATTGGTCAGGAATGACAAAAGGTAAAGGATATGATGTTAAAGACGACGTTAAGTTTGCTATAAATTGTTACTGGAGTGACACTCAGGGAGAAGGAAACCATACACATTTCGTTTCAGGATATACGCAAACAACGGGACAAAGTAAAGAATACATGCCACCTTACATGACAGTTTACGCATGGTATAGAATTGCTTAGTCGTCATTTTCAACTTCTTTAGCATATTCGTCAGGAGTTGTCTTATATTTGTTAGGAACTGTCTTTGAAAGTATACCACCTTGAACTTTGACAAGTTTGAAACGAGGTCTGGCAATAGTAGTTTTATCTTCTGCTTGCAGTCTGTACATTTTGCCATGTTTGCCTAAAACTTCATAATATTCTCTTGTATACTTTCTTCTATTTTTACGAACACGAATGTGAGTACCTGTCGGGTTCCCATTGTTGTCATAGTCAATAGTATTTTCATATGGGTCGCGTTTAGGTATTTCTATTTTACTTTGTCACCTTTCTGAAGTTTGAAGCCCGGCATTCTTTCTTGTTTGTCTCTTTTGACTAAATTATTAAATATATAGTCTTTCTCTAAGTCAGGGTTGTTTTTCATTTCTTCGGGGGGGTGGTTTCCCAAACCTTTTTGTTTACGGTTATTGTAAATATTTAAAACTTGTCTCATCTTTGCCATGGAGAAGTGTCTATACTTGTCGTCATATGACATTTCATTTGCTTCACCACCTTGTGGTTGGTTTAAGTCTCTTAACATTTTTATACAACCGTCAATGACACCAAGAGCAGAATGGTTTTGGTCGACAATGAAATATTGGTTTACATTTTTTGAACGCAGATAGTTTTTTACATCATCTGATTTGAAAGAACTTTCACAGTCAGATGTCAGTTTTGTTGGATGGTATTTGTCAACGAATATTGTCAAAGCAGTTTTCACATCTAAAATATTTTTTGGACCATAATGGTATGGCTTCATAGTATCTTGTGTTTTGACCAACAAATATTAACCAGTATGGAGGTCCATCTGTTCTAACTCTCGGAATGTTTTCCAAGATATCCATAAACCAAGCATTTGGTGTTGAACTAAAGATTTTTATCATGAGTGCTTTCTTTGTCGCTTTAGAAACATAGGGGTCCTTGTTCGGATTCGTCATTTTTTACCCTATAAGAAATGGGTTTATTTGGCGCATTAGCAGGAGTTGCATCCAGATTTTTGCCCGCAGTGGGAACAATAGTCAGAGGTGCATTTGGAATTGGAAGGAAGATTTTGAGTACATTAGGTATACTGAAAGAGAAAGCACAACCTATTATACAAACTGTACAGAAAGGTTGGGATGTAGCACGAGATGCAACAAATCTTATTCCAAATCCTGAAACAAGAGGAAAAGTTCAAGGATGGATGGACAATGTAGGAAGACAAGCAGGAAACTATTATAACAAAGCAAATGACTACTATAACCAAGCAGGACACTATATGGACCAAGGTGAAAGATTCTTTAACAGAGGATATAACCATGCACAACAGTGGGTAAACAATAACCAACCTCAACCGCCTCAAACGTGGGAATGTAAATTTTTTTACTGAGATGAAATGAACAATGCAGCATTGAGACAAATGAGTTCAAGATGGATTTGTCGGCTTCCAGCATTTACACCACGTGTTTGTAAAGTTCTTCCTATACCTCAGGAAGTTTTAGACCGACTTAAAAAACCTAAACAACCAGTTGAAAACAAACCAAACTAAATTTTTTTACTGAGATGAAATGAACAATGCAGCTTTAAACAGAATAAGTCATGGAAGACCACCTTTTACACTACGTGTTTGTAAAGTTCTTCCTATACCTCAGGAAGTTTTAGACCGACTTAAAAAACCTAAACAACCAGTTGAAAACAAACCAAACTAAATTTTTTTACTGAGATGAAATGAACAATGCAGCTTTAAACAGAATAAGTCATGGAAGACCACCTTTTACACTACGTGTTTGTAAAGTTCTTCCTATACCTCAGGAAGTTTTAGACCGACTTAAAAAACCTAAACAACCAGTTGAAAACAAACCAAACTAAATTTTTTTACTGAGATGAAATGAACAATGCAGCTTTAAACAGAATAAGTCATGGAAGACCACCTTTTACACTACGTGTTTGTAAAGTTCTTCCTATACCTCAGGAAGTTTTAGACCGACTTAAAAAACCTAAACAACCAGTTGAAAACAAACCAAACTAAATTTTTTTACTGAGATGAAATGACCGAAGAAGTTGAAACGGTAGATTTGACACCACAAACAAAAAGTTCAGAACCATTGTCAAAACCTGTCAAAGAACTTACAGATGAAGAGAAAAATTCAATAATAGAAAGTGCCAGGTCTGGAAATACAAACCCTAACTATAAAGTCACTTTTCATAGAAATGGAACGGCTAGTATCTCAAAAAAGAAACAGACTCTCACAAATAAAATATTGAAGTCTGAAGGAGCTTTCGAGACAACAGATGGAAAAGTTTACTTCACTGACCAACAGTTCATTATAGAACATCTCATTGACTTAGAGTCGAAATATTCTAAACTTTACAACAAACACAAAAAGTTGAAAGGAAAACAAAAACAAATGGCATATGATATTTATGAAGATGTTGACGACACAACTGTTCCTGCAAGTGAAGTAAAGTCAGAGGAACCGAAAAGTGACGAAAAACCGATAGAAGAAGAAAAACCAAAAACTGAAGATAAACCAAAACCAAAGTTTAGTTTCCAAACTAAACCAAGTCAACCTTCATTAGCTGGTATGGGTTGGCGTCAAAGACTTATGGCAGCAGGCGGTTATGTAAAGTAAAGAAAAAAATTTTTTTTATTTTTATAAAAATGCCCCCATATAGAATGGATAGAAAGTCTGCTAGAATAAAAGCAGAGTTACAAAGATATGGTTGGAGAGTTTCGAAGAATTTTAAATATAGGAAGGGAAGACCCATAAAAGTCTATGACAAATTGTCTGGTCTTCGCTACGAAATGGATTTGGAAACAGCACGTGCCAATTATCCAAACAGACTAGAGAGGTTAGAAGAAGAACGTCTTATGGACATGCCTTTCGATGTTAGTGAACCTCAAGTTGAAGGACACGACGGCTTTGCCAGATTCTACTGGAAACATGACGAACAATTGCATCCTTTGAGAAGGAAAAAAGGAAAAGGTGAAGACACACATGCTCCCATGGAAAGAACAAGATATGCATATGAAAAGTATCGTGAAGTTAGAAGTCAAATTACATCTGGTCGAACCTTTACAGTAAACTTTGACGAAGGAAAGAACAAAGAAGGCTTCATGGGAGTACTTGCTGCAATTCAAGACGGAAATAAGAAAGGACACAATCTCAGATTGACCATAACAGATTTGGATGGTCACATTTACTATGCACATGGCAATGAACAAACAGCCGCAAAACTTCTTGACGCTTTCAAGACTACAAAGAGAGAACAAATGGTTGACTCCGACTCAGACATTTTGAATGCAATTGAAGGAATTGCAAGTGTCAAGTTCGAATGGTACCAACCTAACCCTCAAGCAGTCAGACAACATGCTGGATACTTCCCGTTCATAAATAAGTCTGACATTGACTTGACAAGGTATGGAATTTACAATTCAATTGAAACAATTGTCAACGAACCTTGCATTCTTACATGTCTCAGGAACTCTGGTCTTGTTACAGATGAGAAGATGAAGTATCTTGAGTCATGTGTGAAGACAAGGTACATTCTCAGAGGTCAATTGGCAAAAATTGCACCGTTGGCAAATGTCAATATCCGAGTCAACATACCTACAGCTAAAGGTTCTTCACATGACGACTATGTTGTTGACAAAGACTTACCATGGTTGAAGATTGTAATTGTCCACAACCACTTCATGTTGAACGAAAAGTCTTACAAACCCATTCTTTGGTAAAAGTAAGTGCAACATTGTCAGAGCTGTAAACATTCTTTTCGAGAAAGGTTTGTTGGAACCAATTCCAGATGACAAGCTGAAGAAACTTTTGTACCAAAAGACGAAACAAACTTTTCATTGTTAGCAAGACCAAAAGTTGTTCCAGACAAAGTTCTAGTACAAAAGAAGTACACAGTTCCACAAGGAGTTGGTATGTTCGGATACCAACCTGAAACCAGAAGAACTTCCAATGAGGTTGAAAGAACTTCAAGATGCTATAAACAAACTTCCATTGAGACATCCAATTGACGTCAAATTGTATTGGAGAGCATCTGAGTTAGGTCAGAAGGTTTTATATGAAACAGGTTGCTTCGACGATGTTTATGAGATAACAGGAGAAGTTTCTCAGAAGATAAGAGACTCACTTGAATTTCCACAAACTGGACCAATTGGTTGCGACAAGTTCGACTCAGATGAAAAGATATACTATGTCGACCTTAACGCTGCATACATGAGGTTTGTCCAATATATTCCGACTGGAATTCCAAACGAAGATGGTGAGTTCCCGGGAAGGAACTATACAGTTGGAAAAGTCATACAACAACTGTATGATATTAGGAAAGCTTCAAACCCCAAACTTGCAATGACACTCAAATTGCTTATGAATTCGACATGGGGATATTCCATTAAGAAACCTCAAGAGATGAAGAGTAAACATTATGAGAAGGTCGACAACTTTGTTGAAAGGTTTTCTCCTTTTGTTTTGAAGTACGAATTCACTCAAGGTCAAAGTGGCTTAGTAACCACATTAAAACCTATTGTCGAACATTGGTCTTACCCTCAGTTCGCAAAGGCAGTCCTTGACGAGTACAACAAATTCTTCTCGGAAGTCAAATCGAAAGTCAAGGTTTACTATGAGAACATTGACGCACTCATGACGAACGAAGAAGGATACAACAAACTCATTGAAATGGGAATGGTCGGTGAAAAGATGGGCTGTTTTAAGCTAGATAAGGTATTTTCCGAAGTTCCTGTAATATCGAAAAGGAAATATTGGGGCATACTTGAAGACGGCACAGAAATAAAACATTGCATGAAATAAAAAATTTATTTTTAAAAAAAGTGACATTTTTTAATTTTATTTGAAATGTACGCTGAGTTTGTTGGAGAAGACCGTTGGGAAACTTGTTTGTTAGATGAGAAATATGAAATGGCATACCATTTTAAAACAATATATTTTTACATATATTAAATGCTTCAGGTTGAAAACAAAAAGAAAAGTAGCAGATACAAAACCGTTAGACTATATCTTTACAAATGCTGGTAGGACTATTTCAGATGAAGAAATTTCATCCCGAGCATACAGGTTTGACTATACAATTCGTTGGCTTCAAAGTCCTTCAGATGCAAAGGCAATAGGATTTAGAAGAGTTTTGTTTTCAAATAGAACTAACGCATTTATGTTCGCAGTATATTTTCATGGGCAGTATGAAGGTCCTGATGGTCTAATAGACAAATTTGACGAAATGAGAATCTTTACAGTTCGTTCAGACGAAAGTCTTGAGAAAACTCTAGATGACTTTCAAACTCAAATGAACAAATATTATTGGGAATTTCAAAAAAAATACGACTCTTTACTAAATGGAACATACTATCTGAAACTAGAATATGACAAGATGAACTCCACCGTTTCATTTCAAAAGATTGAAATTAACCTCCAAGAGATACAGAGTTTTTATTTTGGGAAGTAGACAAACGTTCTTGGGCACAATTTCTTCGGTTACTAAAACCAGAACGAACCATTACCACCAGATGGTCCATTTAAAATTTATACTTCCACCAGCAGATTTGATGTTTATAGAAACGTGTTTGACCCTCAAAATGTTATGTGTCATGCAAGTTTCAGTTCAAGCAACAATAGTTTTCTATGTATTGGTAAGGACCTTTATGACTTTGCTTCTAAATTCTACGAACCACCTAGTAACAGTTTCTCTGACTTTCAAGTTTGGTTCACAACAAATGGTGTGCAACATATTATTCCATTGTACTATGACTTTTATCTCGAATTGTCTTTCATATATAACTACGGAAAGGTGCTGAAAAAGTATTGAATGTGAAGATATTAGAAAATAACATTTTTTCTAACATCGTAGAAACTCATGAAAACAATTTATTTTTGACACTTTCACAAAAAACATAAAAAAAGTGAGTTAAAATGAGATGTTTACTGAACTGGCTGAATGTCGCCTTCTGTAGTTATAAAGAATGGTTGACCAGAGAAGTGAAGGAGAGACTGAATTGCCAATTTCATATGGGGTAGGGGATTCTCCTTGTTTGGTATTTTTATCCAAGGACGTTTGTTTAGGAACTTAACAAGAGCTTCTCTTTTGGCGTCCTTTATGCCATCGTAGGCTGTCCCGTCTGGTATTTGAATTGGAATTCCAGTCGAAGTCTCGAGCTGAAGTGTAGACCTTCCAGAAATAGTGGTAAACTTGACCTTGGGCTTCATGACCTTGCGCAAGTAGTCTTTTACGCAGTCGTTAAGTTCAATGAGGTAAATTGCCTCGTCAAGTCTTTCTTGCATTCCAAGTTCTTCCATCCGACAGGAAAAAATTTTCCGGACAAAGGGAAAAATTTTTCCTTCCGACAGGAAGAACTCTTCCAGTTGTCCGTCCGTAAACCATTCAAATTTTCGAAAATTGAGAACTTTTTGGTCGAACTTTAGAAAAAATTTTCCTTCCGACAGGAAAAGTTTTTCCTTCCGACAGGAAAAGTTCTTCCTTCCGACAGGACACAAACGGATGACTGACGTTCCTCTTCCTGAATGCCTTCCAAAGCCAGAAGAACCGAAAGCTGCAGAACCACAACAGTCTCCTCAGCAACCTCAGTTCCAGCAAGTACCTCCGAATTACTACCAATTTCCACCTCAAGGTTACTACCCACCACAAGGCTTCCCGAACTACCCTCCTCAGCCTATGCCTTACTGCCCCAACCCTTGGATGTTTATGCAAGCTCCACCCCAGCAATTCCAATTCCAATCTCAGTCCAAGAGAGACCAAGACTTCGAAGAAGGTCTGAACCGCTTACGCAAAGAGTATGCTACAGCTCCAATTGAGAGAAAGTTGTTCCCGGACCAAAAAATATAATTTAGGTGAAGAGGTGAGATTTCACCTCTTTTTTCACCTGTTTTTTCACCCTCTTGAATTTTCATGAATTTTATATATTAATGTTTTCGTTAAGCCACTTTGTGCCGTCAGTCAGTCAGTCAGTCAGTTTAGGAAAGACTTTAGAAAGTTGTTGGAAAATAAGTCCTGGGAAGAGTATTATAAGGCATTTTGTGAAGAATATAGCAACCGCCGGAATTCGGACTGTTGCTTTTTATACAAAATTCATGCAGGAAATTCTTGAGTTTTGGTTGAAAGAATACGGTGGAGCCAAAAGTGGCTCGACCTCAAAACAAGCATTTTATGAGCTTACTAAGGGCGTTATGAATGAATTCAAAGGTATTTACATACATCCTGACCTCGTTCATTTTGTTGCTGAATTCAGCAAAAATAATGTTTAGGGTAGATGGTTAGATCTAACCCGATTTCTACCCTCTTGAATTTTCATGAATTTCCTTAAGATAGAAAAAATAAAGTTAGTTTTATTTTTATTTATTTTTTTATTTTGTATGTAAAGACAGATATGTCAACAATCGGCACAACAACAATTCAAACAACAGCACCAAACTCGTTAGTCATGAATCCAACATCTATGTTAGTAGAAATGAAAAGCTTCATTCCTTCTTCATTTACTTTCGAAACAGAAATCCAGAAGATAAAGCAAGAACTTTTAACAAGTAATTTAGACTGTAGTGCGAAAGATGAAACAAATGAACAGTATCTTTATGAAATGGAGGACCTCATCGACCATTTGCCTAAACTACCTGAAATTCAGCAGCAAAAACTAACTATTCCTGAATTCGACGAAATTGAAGTCAAAGCAACTGACTCAGTAGAAATAAAGAAGTTCATACGAAAGGTAAATTATGAATTCCTTGGTTTTTATTGCAACCATAAAGTTATGGACAAAGATTGCGACATGGTTTATAAAAATATTTCTGACATATATAAATCTGGGGAGTTTAAGACATACGACAACTTTGTTTCATTAGCTGCAAAATGTGTATGGCAGATAAGAGATAAAGACAGAAGAGGTAAGGTATGGAGTGAACAGATAAAACCAACTGCTTCAGATTTAAAGAAAACCATTGACGCCTTGGTTGTTTTAGCAGGTAAGGTTTCAGAATATAACGCAAAAATGAACCCGCAATGTTCTAAATGTAAAGCAGCAATTAGGAAATATAACTACTCCGTCAAAGAGATAGAACGTATGAGAAACGACTATGCAGATTTAAAGAGGGAGGCAGAGAAGCCGGTAGAAGATAAAATGAACATGTTAGAATTTCTGAACAAAAACTATCCAACTGCTGACGATTTCCTTCTATCTGATGTCAAGAAGAAGTATAAAGAAACTTTCGGTATTGTTAAAACATTCGATGTACTAAAAGAAGAAATAGAAGCTACAAAACTGTTTAGAGTCTCACGAATTCATAACGTTTACCATGTGAAACGTTTATAAAATAACTGGGGTAGAAATGAGGGTAGATATCGGGTTAGATCTAACCATCTACCCTAAAATATATTTTTATTGAATTCAGCAACAAAATTCTGAGTAAAATACTTTTTAGGGCATGTGTCAAACCGTTGAGTTTTCACAAAATTTAAAAAATAACGTTTACTATGTGAAACGTTTATAAAATAACTGGGGTAGAAATGAGGGTAGATATCGGGTTAGATCTAACCATCTACCCTAAAATATATTTTTATTGAATTCAGCACAAAAATCATGAATTTCCTTAAGATAGAAAAAATAAAGTTAGTTTTATTTTTATTTATTTTTTTATTTTGTATGTAAAGACAGATATGTCAACAACAGAGAACACAACAACAGTTATAGTCCATGAAGCTATAAATGAAGAATACGAGTACATACAGTATAACAAACAGTTACGTCTCATTCGTTCGGTCAAAGACGATATGTACCAAATGCAAAGTATTTTGAATGCTCTTCGTTCTACAAAGCAAGCATATCATTGGTTTGAAAACCAACAGACAAAAGAACTTTTAGAAGAATTTCCTCATATGATTGCTTCCCTCGGAAAACCGAGAGAAGAGATTCCGTACGAAAATCGCAAGAATTTGGCTCCTGGTTTGAAAGGATATTATGTTCATAGACTTTTAGTAAATGCTGTAGCAATGTGGGCTTCACCTCGTTATGCTTGTTATATTTTCATGATGTTAGATGAACTATATAAAGCAGAACGTGAAGAGATGGAAAAGAAACTTCATGCAAAAGATGAAGTCATTGAAGCAAAAGACAAAAGCATTCAGAAAAGAATACCACGTTCGGTACCAAAAGGAAAGGAAAAGAGTTATAAGTATATGATTTATACTGAAGAGTTGGAAAATGAAGAAGATAAAGATATGGTTATGTTGCATTTAGTCAGAAGAAACAACAAAAGCTTTTACGACCTTGCTAAGATTTACAAATCTGACAGAAATTGGTTCTATCGCGAAAACTTACCGATTTCAATGACCCCAAATGAAGATGTGAAACAAATAGTTCAAGATACGTTACCTCAAACACACTATGATATGAAAGGTTGTACAATACTTACCTTCAAAGAAGACTTACCGCTACTGAAAGAAAAAATAACAGAGTATTTTGACAACTTCAAACAAGTAGGGTAGATGAACCATTTATTTTTATTGACTTTTTACAATTTGAACTTTGTTTGCGTAGATATGAATTCTGAAAGAAGTATGAGGGTCTTGTATGACTTTGTACTTCTCCCATAGTTCATGTCTGTCAAACTTACCTGCCATGGACTCTTTCATAAGTTCCATGAAATCGTCTTCGGACAATCCGGGGAAAAGTATTATGTCAGTAAGTATTCTTTTAACATCCTTACTTAAACTCTTTGCTGTCTGTACACAAATGACAACTGAGATGTTAAAGTGTCTGAGCTTCTTAAGAATTCGACACATATCTTGTTCTCTGTTCTTTAACAAAGGATGAGAGGCGAAATCATCTAAGATAAGAAGACATCTATGAGGGTAAGTCTTCCAATCGTAAGATTGCAATTTCTTCGAAATGTATTCTATCTCTTTCTGTTTGTTTCTGAAGTGTTTCTTCTCTAATATTCTCTGCATTTCCTCATTTGGGTCTTTAAACTTAGAATTTATATACTCATTTATAGCATTATACTTCAAAACTCTTCTTTGGTACTTCTTTATCCAATCTAACAACTCAGTATCCTTTATACATACTAACTTAGACTTCTTTATAATATCTTTGAACGAATTGACGGTTTGGTCAAATTGACCAGAAGTCGAACAAATAACAACTAACTCATAAAATGGGTTCTTCTCATCTAGTTCTTGTTGTTGTGCAGCCATTTTAAGATAAGTGAAAGTCTTACCCGACCCAGGTGGTGCAATTAGACCTGTTATACCATTCTGAGCAAATAAGAACTTGTCATGTATAGGTTTTATCTGAGCATTTTCTAACTTCCTCTTGTTCTTGTTTAAAACCTTCATCAAATTTTTTGTCAATGTCAGCAAACTTTTTTTCTAACATATTTTTAGAAAAATTAAAATTTTTATCTTTTAGAAAATGTCTAGCGATTTCGCTATCTATATTCGAGACAAACTTTTCGACTCTAAAACTTCTGTCGACCATAAAATCTTACATTGTGTCAACAAGAAAGGTGAATTTGTTCTAAAGTTCTGTTTCTGGGAATATGACAAGAACCATAAAACATTACAAAGAGCAGTCTTAAAATTTGTCAATGACAGACTTGTTGACAGAGATGACGCCGATTGGAAAGATGAAGTCCAACAAAAGTTCTTAGAATGCAAAGAAGACACATGCGCTGTTCTTGAAGAGGAAATAGAAAACAGAATAGATGAGCTATTAAAGGACAAAGAACTTTTACATAAATATAGTTGCGCCAAATTTGACATAACTCCACCAGAAAAGAAGAAGAGAGAAAAGAAAGAAAAGAAAGTAGAAGAAGAGAAGAAAGAACCTGAACCAGTTCCAGAGAAAAAGAAATTTGCCATGTAAAAATAAAATTTTATTTTTAGAACATTTCTGGGTCAATGTCAATGTTCTCTTCCTCTTTAGGAGTAAACACTGGCTTAGACTCTAAAATCTTTTTACCCAATTTACCTTGAACTTCTACAACTTTAGACTCATAATATTCATAGTCGTCTGTCTTCTTTGGTTCATAAGGTATAACAAGTTTGTATGCTTTGCCTTCTTTAAGGTTTGAGAACCTTCTGTCAAAACTTTCTTTAACTGTTAACAAACCTTCTATGTCTAAGTCTTCAAATTTCGCACCATTTTTAGTCACAATAGCAAACTTAACTGGTTCGATGTTCCAAACTTTGCTGAATGAAGACTTTTCAAAATGGTAGAAGTAAACATTCAAATATGTGAATGGGTCTAGTTCTTCTTTAAGTCCTGACATGTACTTATTTACTGAGATGAATTTCGTCATCTTTTCTATCGGATAAAAAAATATTTTTTTTAAATTTACTCAGAAAAAATTTTCTTTGTATATACACCATTCTGAACATCTAAAAGACTTTTGACATTTGCCAAGAATGTACGTTTAGAAGCTGCCATATAACCATATTCTTGACAATATTGTTTATATTCATCATATAAAGACTTTTCATCTAAACACTCAAAGTCGCTTTCTTCTATGAACAGTTCATATACACTCTTGTTTGCTTCTAACAATGTTTGTCTCTCTTCGGTATGTGGAATTTGTCTTGGATTGAACTTAGAAATATCTAATGTCATGAAATATGAGAACAAGTGGTTGTAAAAGTCAGATGTCAAAGTTTCTGCTAAGTCGTCAAAATATTCTGTATCTTGCATATGAGAATCTGACGTTCTGACAACTACATATCTTCTGTCAGAACTTTCTAACTTCATCGGAACAGCATTGTTTGAAACCATAATGAAGTTTGCAACATTTTCACAAACTCTTTGGTCTTTATATTTTCTTTCAACAACTCCAACTTTGTCT